ATTGTTTTGTTCTTCATGATTTCTGGAAATCAACCAAGAATAATTTAATCGATTATTCTACAAGATAATCGATTATTCTAGAGAGTGATTCCTGGGATAATCGATTATTTCACAAATAATCGATTATTGCAGCAAGGCATCATTTTTACCTGTTGCTAGAATAATCGATTATATTTAATGATAATCGATTATTTTGAGTCAGTTTTCAAAAACTTTGTTTTATGTCTCAAAATATCTTCTTAAGTTTCAAACTCATCATCATACTCACTCTTAATCAAATTAGATAAGGATTAGCTCATGCACAAAGCATACACACGAAAAATAAGCTCAACAAAACAATACAATTTATAAGCTACTCCTATTACACAACATAATAGCCACATTTTTCCTTGACTTTATTTTTGACTTGTTGATGTCCTTGGTCAACTTTGTTCCACACTTTGTTATCATCAAAACCTTCATTCTCCAGATGTGACTTGATTCACCACTATGAATCTCAGCACTTATTACATCAATTGTACAATTGATATAGATCCCAGTATGAATCCAAGGCCATTTCACATTAGACAAATGTAGAATGTGGTGATTTTTTAAAGGTGGGTTTGTTTTTTGTATCATCCCAAACTTTCAATTACAATTCGTATATCATGTGGTTTACATACAATCTCAAGCACTCAAAAAGTCTTCATTTGACCAAATTACTCCATATGTAACTCTAACTAGTGTAGTACATCATATAGGTACATAAACTAACTAAAATTTATCTATATTAAACATCATCTAGTACATGAAAATGAACTACATACACAATCATAAGATAAAGTAACTATACAATCATATGAAACCTAAAGTATGTCGTTATATACTGAAAACTAATAACTATAGTCAACCATAAGTAGATACACAAGGGTAAATGAAATATGTTGAGATTTCTATTGAAATTACTTTTGTTATTATTGTAAATCATTTTAATTCTCTCAATGGACTCAAACACGACAAGTATAACGGTCGTACAAGTAGTAAATTTATATCGTATCCACAGGGACTAGTTAGGTAAAACAAGCATTTAATGACTATTCATGACTAAAGAATAATTCCAATTTCTCATAGATTGTCATGCAAATTTGAATTAAAGGTTATGACTATTGAAATGTTAAACTATAAAATTCTTTGTTTTGTGTGTGGAAAGGGTAGAAATGGTATTGTGGTTTTGTAAGATTATGGGGTTAGATATCACCGAACTTCACACTGATGAATCTTTAATCTCTTGTTACATTCATTGCTTAGTCAACCCATAAGTTTACTTAAACCTAATCCCTTAGAGCAAGAGCCTAGGTGCAGATAGTGACTATCAATTCCTTGAGAATCCAATACCTACACCCGTATTACGGGTTAGGGTTTAAGACTACTAATGGGCCAAGCTCCATTCCTAGATACATTTTCCACTAGGCATTTGTTTCAAAGCTAGTTTCAATGTTTATTTCCCAATACCCAATGGACTCTATATCAAGCAAAGGAGGATCAATCCAAAGCAAGCATTAAGAATAGAAACATAACACAACAATGAATGAAACAACACATATATATACATATATATATATATATATATATACATATATCATTAAGAACGTAAAGATTACATAAGAGTATCGTTGGTTACATCTAACCCCACAAAATAATGGGTAGAACCGCTCAAAACAATGAGGGTAAAACAAAAATAGAGATGGAAGAACCGAAGGAAAGACCCACACACGAACGGTCCCAAGCACCGAGAATCCCTTCCTCAGCTCCTAGAAGTCGCCCAATGTGTGAATGAGGAAAAAATCCTCGAAGTCTTGATCTAATACGAGCTAGGTGAGTCAGGTTAGGGTTACCACACCCGGTGCATTATGCTTTGCGCTCGGCGCAGGGCCTTCTAGAGAGTTTAGTTACTCTTTGTGTCAAGACACGCCCGGCGCAATTACTTTTAAGCCGGGTGCGATGTCTTCTAGAGAGTTTAAGTTGCTCTCTGTCTTGAGCACACCCGGCGCATTTTCTTGCGCCCAGCGCAGTTCTGAATTGCAGAGAGTGTGGCTCTCTGTTTTGCTCAAGCCCGGCGCGGGTAGTCTTGCATCCGGCGCAGGTACTCTTCTCCTACTCCTTAGTTCCTTTAATTTCCAATCCAATGGGTCTTCAACTTTCAACTCTTCACTCAATACTTGCACAAAAAATGAGGTGTATCAAGGTATTGTTAGATAAATTTTGAGTTAGTTATATCTGCATAAAAAAATGATCAAAAAGAGAACAATTATATTGCAAGAGTGCATGGGGTGAGTGGAATTGTTCAATAATTCCTATGTATACATATGTATAAATGAGACTTAACAAAATACACAACATTATTTAGTGAAATATACAAGTATATCGTTGAAATGATATTTCAATTATAAAACTTACACTACTCCATGAATCTATTATGCATTTGGACAATAGTCTACATGTGCTTCATAATATAATGTTCATACTTATAGGCTCCTCTCTATCTATGAGACTACAATTTTTTTTTTTTAATATTATTAGTAATAGTGATATAAACAATTAATTTTTTTTCAATTGAATGCATATATAGGAAGCTTAAAATTCTTACTTTTAGAGATAAACTATTGAAGTTTTTTTTTTTTTTTTGAGGAATGCCTCATATGCTCATAGCTTTAAGGAAAAATGTGATTGTTAATGTTAAGATTAAATATAAACTACAAATGAAATTTAGTATGTTTAATAATGTATACTTCTACTATATGTTTGATTTCTTTGCTTGACGTGTCATGCATCAAACACATGACTAATGATCAACAACTTCCAATAGGAATTGCATTAGAAAATAATTATTGATAAGCAAAGTTAATTTATAAACAAATATATAAAATTGTACTTACTCTAATATTAAAGTGCTAGATAAATTTGTTTTTTTACTCCTGTTTCCATTATAAAATGTAAAACTACTAAATTTCTTTAGTCTCGTTGCCCAACTTATGAATTGATTGAGGCTCTAAGAATGCATATATGTTGTTGTTCCCTTCAGCCACACAAAATCGATGGTAATACCTACAAAGTTAGAATAAAAGTTTAAAATTGAATTACAAAAATGTAAGTCTTACATCAATCAAAGCAACAAAATTAATATGTTTAGCATAGTTATTCTCTAATTTTTGACAAATCATTATGGTTTATGTACACTAAAGCACTAATCTCTTTATTGAACACAACCTTTACCCACATGGAACCTGTATGGGCACCTCTTCGCTATCAACAAACACTCACCTTAAAGTCTGGATTAGATTTACCTCAATATAGGTAACCACAACTTTTTCCTTTCGAACCTATACAATTGTTTCTTTAATCTACCCAACAATATCCTAATCAACAAAGGAAAAATATTATAATATATTAATACCAAGTTAAAATAAATAGCTTCATTAAATAAAATATTTGGGGAAATTAATAACCTTCAATAGCCTATGGGGTCATTAGATGAAATGGTGAGGGACATGTCCCGCTATCTAAACCTCGACACTTTCTCACCTTGCACCATACACCAAAATTTTCAAGTAAATGTTCATAAACAAACTAAAGAACTAATTGGAGCATTTAAGTGAACAACTAACATACATACATGAAAACCACCAAAATAAGTATAATGGGAACCAATAATCAACCAAAACAACCAATCAATACAAAACAAACAACCAAAATCTAGAATATTAACAAAATTGAAGAACCAAGACATGATGTTCCAAATTAAAGAACCAAAATGTAGACCAAAATGCTCTTGTCAATGATGAAAAAATGAAGTAGATAAAATAAATCATGGGAACACAATATTGAGAGCATAAAGATATCCAAAACATCTTACTCTGGCCTTAGAAACATCAAGGGAAAATTAAGAAGACAAGTTGCATCGACAACAAAGAGAGATCTTTGAGAGGGTGAAGGAAATGTGTGCATGAAGAAAAGGAACCATTATGATGTTTTAAATGGATATACTACATCATTTACCGATGTAGTACAATACTTTCTACATCGACTACATATTGAACTCATGTAGATCGATTAAACTACAATCAAATTAGTATAGTTGGTATTATTTTCAAAAAATATCATTACATCCTATATTACATCCAATGCAACACAACCAATGTAATATCCTATGGTAGTATGTTATATTTTCACTAGTGTTAAACGCTAAGCATGCTTAGACATGTTAAGTGCCATTTGACACTAAAGTTTTACGAATTTGGACGTTAAGCGAGAGAGACTCACTAAGTGTCGTGGCCACAATTAGCTATAATGATTTTGATGTTAGGCATAAGTTGGTCCGGCTAAGCATGAGAGTCACAAAAAGTAAGACTTGTTCTATGTGCCTATGTCACTAACTAGCGATTGTTGTTAGATATCTATTGATTAGACTACTAATTATTGAATTATTATACCGACTATTCATAAATTTTTAGTCATACAAACTTTATATTTGAGAAGTGTAATCATAATGTGAGAGGTGTGTTGAAAATCTCTTTAGATTGAATTAGACCTAATAATCATGAGAATAGAAAAATGTTCAATTGCACACATTCCCAAAGTAGCCGACACTAATAATGATAATTAATACAGTGTAAGGACTAAATAAAATCAGTAACAATGAGTTACAAGGGAGTGTCGTTGTATTGATATTATTCTAGAGGAGTTTGTTATAACGAAGGAAAATTGGCCATCAACGAAGAGGATAACCCAAAAGGAAACAACATCAAAGTAAATCTAAAGAGCCTCCGTTTTGCAAGGAATCATTCATGACCATTTTTTCCTATCTTTCCACATCATGTCCCTGACTTTTATACACTGACTATTTGCCTTATATATCGTTTCCACACCCCTACACGCAATCATGAATAACAATTTGTTACTCTCTTTCTCGCACTTTTTTTTTATTTCCCACTTCTTGAATCATTTGCTATGCGATCTGATGCCATAATAGAATTTTTTTTTTTTTTTTTGGATCGGCAAATGTTAGTAATTAGTAAGTTATGTTAGTTGGGTTGCAGGGGGGTTCGAAACCTCCGACCATCCTTATTCCTCCAGCCCCAGGACCACCCCCTTCGCCACCAAACCACCTTATCACTTCGATGCCATAATAGAATTGCCTTCCCTAAAATTTCTTTCTTCATTTATCCTTGAGTCTAGACCCTTCTGCACATATAGTCTTGTGTGTTATTGAAACGTTGGATCTCCACTTGCACCGTTAATATTGTTTGAGTGTGAACTTCCAATAATAGATGTTATGGCAGCCATAAGAGCTACACTAAATTTCGGGTCAGAAGTGATAGCAGATGTTGCTGCATTTACCATGTCCATAAATGAAGCCGTTTTTGTTCCTTGATACCCATGTAAGTTGAAAAGCTTAGTTTGGTCAAGAAACTTCTGTGGTGCCCCTTGTGAGGAATTAGTGGTAGCACTTTGAGTGAGATCCAAAGTAATAGTTGGAAATGGTGCTGAAGTTGAGAGGGTGGCTAGGTTTTGTGAAAATGGAAGTGTTGCACTTTGTAATATGTTTGGGTGTATAAGGCCATCTGAGCTTGGCATCGATCCTGAAAGAAGCATTGATGCAGCTGAAGATGTGGTGGATGCCATTGCCTTGGCACTGAGAGGGAGTACATGATTATGTTGCCCTTCATATGTTGTGATCAACACACTTTGATCTTCAGCACATCTTTGTACCTATAAAGATAAATTAATTAGTGCAATAGTTAGTATGTGTTTGAATACCAATTTGAAACTACATTCAATGAAAAAGCACATATTCTAATATAAAAAATAAAATAAAATAAAAAAAATTATAAATGTAACTTTTTATTCAATCTCAATTGAGTTGAACTCAATTGATTTTCAAATAAACTCTTAATTGATGCAGTTTCATGTTAGAGATAAAAGTCTTATATTCTTTGTCAATTGTGACGTTAAAATCAAGTTGAACCATTTTATTTTATTTTATTTTTAAGAATTACATATGAATCTTAAATTTGATTTGTAAGAAGTCTAAATAGTTTGTCACAGCAAGTTAACGAAAAAATATATTTTGACGCCAAATGTTATCTAACACTTTAAAAAATAAGATGGAAAAATTAATGTAGGTATATGACAGAAGATATGAAATGTGTGATTGTGTGCATTTTAGCCTAATTTTACCAAAATGAAAATAAAATTAATTTTCATAAAAGAATAGATAGTGCAGAGATTGTATACTTGTTTCCTTACTGGACAACCTGTCCCCATTGAGCAACGATAATAAGCTCGCGGACACGGATTCCCTTTTGCTATCTTCTGACCATACTTTCTCCATTGACAACCATCTGAAATCTGTGTGAATTATAGAAAAGAAAAATAATATCTATTGCGCAGAAATTGTTGACTTTCATGAAAGATATATAGGCAATTATGTCACCTATAAAAAATGCATATCACATTGCTTAAAGCTTATTTGGAAATAAACTAAACTAAAATGAACTTATAAGAGATGATAAATCTTTTTTATATTTATACAATAATCAAACATTAGTTTAAGTATTTATAGGTTTTTAAAAGCTAGTTAGTCCACATAATGTAGATCATTTGGACTTGTATTTCCAATCATTAGAAATTTTAACTTATACTAACCATAGGATAATCTGTTGTTGCTCGAACTGATACGCGGGCTTTCTTGATCATTGACATGGTTTCTGATGCTTGATCAACATCCCTTAACGAACTCAATCTTGTGACTTCGTTTGAGAGCCACCCCGGAATAGCTTTCTCATCTTCACTCTTTCGCTTATCTCTTATGGATTTTGCACTATCCCTGCCAGTGCAAATCTTCTCAGTCTTGCACTCCATCAAGTCAATCATGCTTTTGCTTTCTTGCACTTTTCCCTTGGACTTGGAATGTTGCTGCTGTTGAATATGGTGTGGCAAATTTAGTCCCACATCGAATAAGTTTTTTTTGATGTGGCCAAATTAGTCCCACATTGGATAGATTTGGGAATGTGTAGTGCCTTAGGTTCTATATATAGAAACCCTTCCCTTCACTTTGAAATCATCCCAACTACAAGTTCATTTGTAACTTCTAAGGCTTGTAGTTTTCTCTTCTCTCTCTATTGTAATATTTCTTAGTGAAATATATTTGGTAGTGTCCGAGGAAGTAGGCATAATTGGCTGAACCTCGTTAAATTCTTGGTGTTCTTTCTTTCTTGTTTTGCTTTTGGTTTAAAATTTGCTAGACGTTTCCGCAACAATTGGTATCAAGAGCCAGGTTATTTTAAGGAAAAAACACTATGCTCTGTGCGCTGTAGGTATTCTATAGTCGGCACATCAGAAAATTTTTCCTTAATCCTGGACCTATTTTTATTATTTGACATTTAGCAAATTTTAAACACTCTTTTCGAATTGAGCTGAGATGGCAAACGAAGAAAATCCACTTAGAATTACATCATCAACTTTGAATGCTTCTTCAAGCATTTTGCAAAGAGCTGTTGGTGGGAATCCAAGGTTGATGGTAGAGATTTTCGATGGCAGCGGTCATTTCGGCATGTGGCAAAGTGAGGTTCTAGATGCTCTTTTTCAGCAAGGTCTAGACATTACAATTGAAGGAAAGAAACCAGAAAGTATGGGAGAGGAAGATTGGAAGACCCTCAATCGATTGGCATGTGGTACAATAAGGTCATGCTTATCAAGAGAGCAGAAGTATGCATTCTGCAAAGAGACCTCTGCTAGTAAGTTGATGACGGAGTTGGAGGAAAAGTTCTTGAAGAAAAGCAGTCAGAATAAACTTCACATGAAGAAAAGGCTGTTTCGGTTCACTTACATTCCTGGTGCCACAATGAATGATCACATCACTAGTTTTAATCAGCTTGTTGCTGATTTGTTAAACCTGGACGTGACTTTTGAAGATGAGGATCTTGCCCTAATGTTGTTGGGATCACTTCCTGAAGAGTTTGAGTTTCTGGAAACAACTCTACTCCATGGGAAGGTTGCTGTGTCTCTAAATGAAGTTTGTGGAGCCCTATACAGCTATGAACTGAGGAGAAAAGACAAAAAAGATAGCTCAGAGAAGGCTAATGAAGCTTTGGTTGCAAGAGGACGTCCGGTGATCCAGGCGAAAGGAAAGAAGAAGCGATCGAAGTCGAAGGCTAAAGTTGGGAAAGATGAGTGTGCCTTTTGTCGAGAAAAGGGGCATTGGAAGAAAGATTGTCCTAAACTAAAAAACAAAGGTCAATCTAAGACTGTTGCAGATTCAAATGTAGCTGAGTATGTTGATGACTCAGATTGTTCACTTGCTGTTTCTGGTTCAACCAGCTCTTCTAGTGCTTGGCTTCTTGATTCGGGATGCAGCAATCATATGTGTCCTAATCGAGAATGGTTCTATGATTTCAGAGAACTAGAAGAAGGAGTTGTTTATACAGCAAATGATGTTCCTCTTACCACACATGGGATTGGTTCTATTCGATTGAAGAATCGTGATGGAGCAATCAGAACTTTGAAGGATGTTCGTTTTGTCCCGAGTTTATCAAGAAATCTCATTTCTGTGGGAGCCTTAGAAGAGAAGGGTTTCACGGTGCACGCAGAAGGTGGAGTAATGAAGATAATCTCTGGAGCTCTGGTGGTAATGAAAGGAGTTCGGAAAAATAATAGGTTGTACTATTACCAAGGTACTACTATTATTGGAACTGCAGCAGTGGCATCCAGTGACGAGAAGGAGTTGGAGTCGGCCAAGTTATGGCATATGCGGCAGGAACAAGATGGTCAAAATGTGGTTGGATATTGTGATTCCAACTATGCTGGAGATCTGGATAATCGTCGATCAACTACTGGCTATGTTTTTACTTTGGCAAAAGCACCGGTATGTTGGAGGTCTACTTTACAGTCAACTGTAGCTTTGTCTACAACAGAGGCAGAGTATATGGCTTTGACAGAGGCTGTGAAGGAAGCAATTTGGCTTCAAGGGTTGCTTGGTGAATTAGGAATTCTACAAAAGCATGTGAAGGTGCATTGTGATAGTCAAAGTGCAATCATGTTGGCAAAGAATCAAACTTACCATGCAAGGACGAAGCATATTGATGTTCGTTACCACTTCATAAGAGAGATTATCGAAGAAGGTGGAGTGGCTATCCAGAAGATAAGGACCACAGAGAATCCAGCTGATATGTTGACAAAGGTAGTAGATTCAATCAAGTTCCAACACTGTTTGGACTTGATTAATATTATCAAAATTTGAAGACTGCATTGGTAGACACTATCAAAGATGAGAGATTTGAAAATATGAAATTTGCCAAGGTGGAGATTTGTTGAATATGGTGTGGCAAATTTAGTCCCACATCGAATAAGTTTTTTTTGATGTGGCCAAATTAGTCCCACATTGGATAGGTTTGGGAATGTGTAGTGCCTTAGGTTCTATATATAGAAACCCTTCCCTTCACTTTGAAATCATCCCAACTACAAGTTCATTTGTAACTTCTAAGGCTTGTAGTTTTCTCTTCTCTCTCTATTGTAATATTTCTTAGTGAAATATATTTGGTAGTGTCCGAGGAAGTAGGCATAATTGGCTGAACCTCGTTAAATTCTTGGTGTTCTTTCTTTCTTGTTTTGCTTTTGGTTTAAAATTTGCTAGACGTTTCCGCAACAGCTGCCAAGTCTCTTCTGTCATGGCAACTCCAGTATCCAAGAATGCCCTTGTAATCGTGTCATCTTTCTCACCCTTTTCCTCTATGGCTCCTTTAATCTACATAAAAACCACATGATGCTTTTTAGGAATGAACTTGGTAGTGGAGTTTTACGAGAAAAATGAAGGGAGATCAACTTTTGTAGTTTTATATTAGGAGTTATAACTTATAAGGGTAACCCACTGCATAAAAAACACAAAGTAGGGGTTTGAATATTGTAACATAAAATTTGTTCAGATACAAGTTTTGAAATATTTTTTAAGAATTTTTTATTAAAGAATATTTTTTATTTTTAATAGAAAAATTCATAAAAATACCTCAGTTTGTATTCAAATAAGTTAGTTAATTGTGTTATGTATCCTTCAAATGAAAATACTACTTTTATGATTTGAACTCGTGATTTCTACCAAAACAAATAGCATCTCAACTATTTTTTGGTAAGGCTTACCCCCGTTAGTCAGTTACCCACTAGCCTTGGATAACTAAAGCACCAGGAAAAAAATCATTGCAACATGATATATATGATTTTCATTTATAAAAAATTAATGATATTACCTTGTTGTTATGTTGTTTCTCCTTGAGTTTCATAAGATGCTTGTGTAGGGTATTGTACTTATCGTTCACCTGATCAACCAGCTCTCTCAAGCGTTGATTTTCAGCACTCATGTGGTGCAATTCAGCGAGCATGGCTAGCTGTACCCAGAAAAGAAAAAAAAATAGTGATCTGATATATAGAAACTCCTCTCATAAACTAATTATCCCAAAAAACTTAACCTGATTGTAAAATAATGTAAATTAAATACAGATCTTATAGCTAAAATAATTTTTATGTTAAAAGCTGTATGTTTGTCAAAATATATATATACATATGGACCCAAAAGAAAAGTACCTTACTTCCCTTGTTCTCCCTTGCCTCCAAGGATCCTTCTTCTATAGTTGATCTAATATTGCTAGTGGAACTCTTTGTAAGGAGATCTAAACTAGTCTAAAAATTCGAAACAGAGAAGAAAAAACAAGAGTTATCCATATCATAGTATTTCAGAAAGAAAATTCTAAGGAAATATTCATGAGTTTGCCTACATCTACATGAAGCTCCATTGGTTGCACCATTTGATCATCATCATCAACTGCACTTCCCTTCTTCTCTACCAAGAAATCCATCTCATCCACGACTAGTCGTGTCCCATTAAATGACATCGTCGGTGAAAAATGTGTAACTGCTGCAACATTATAATGGAAGTCAATCAAGTCATCATTGCATGAAGCTTCCATGTCGTTAGTAAGATTTTGACATATATGAATTATGAAGTTTGTATTTGCACTTTATAGAAGGAGAGTGTGTGTAGAGGTGCTTAGGACAAAGAAAGTGGTTGGATGAGTATCAAAGAATAGTCCTCGATAGAGAAGGGTCTGGTTCTGATATAGGTTGACATAAGAGATAGCTAGTGAGATGCAATGGACTCGGCAACAATTATGGTTTGGACTAAGACCAAATGCTATGTGGAAGAACTCAAATATTTTAGTTAACAATAAAAGATTTGGGAACTGAGGTAAGATGGTGCGTAATAGTATCCACGTGTCAGTTTGCCATAGGGCTACATGGAGAAATATACCAAGAAAATCGCAAGGACAGTTGTTTGAGACTTAGTCTTATTTATCAACTTTAATTAATGAGAGAGATCTAACTTCTAAATTCTTTGCATTCAGAGCAGCATCCTATCTTGTTTAAGTCCTACATTAGTTGCTTTTGCATATTTTTAAGTGTTTATAAATCAATTATTATGCATGTTAATAATCGACTTATTGGACCGGTAGTCGGGGTGTTTTTTTATTTACAATTTTTAAGAAATTTAAAAATACATTAAAATTCTTTAATATAATTAAATTGAAAGTGAGTATTAAATTAAAAGTGAGAATATGGAAACGGGTACGGGTACGGGTACGGGGCGGGTAAGTATATACCTGTACTCGTACTTGATTTCATATATTAGATTTTACCCTTATCTATACCTGTATTTGGTCAAATCAAGTATTTCCTGTCAAAATTGGGACAGATTTGAGTATTATCCGCGAGTAAGAGTATATTTACCATCAGTTAACCGTGACTTTGAGGGGCTGAATGTGATAGTAGATAGTGCCTTGAAATGATTTTACCCTCTTATCCTTTTCAGTTTTCGTGTGACTCAATAATCAATACTCTGTTCTACAAGTTCAAGTTCAGACTTCAAATCCCTTCTTTTTTACTTCTGCCATTTTCATTCATTTGGTTGCATCTTTCAAAACCCATCCACGCGACCCGTTTCTCTTTCTTCATCAAGCTTTGTTTTTGATAGGTGCCCAACTTTGCTTAGGCATTGGATTTCAGGGATTCAAAGCGAAAATGCTTCCTCAGCGCATGAAGAAAGCAATCACTGATAACCCTAAGAAGCTTGCCAACTTGATTGACCTCATCAACCTTCCATCCACGCTCAGAGAATTCGTGGGTCAGTCTCAGATTTCTCGCTTGGGCTGTTTCAAGTGCGTTTGGTCCTACATCAAAACCAATAATCTTCAGGTTCCCCGTTGTTTTTTTGTATATAAAAAAATGTTTTTTTTGCTTGTTTGTTTAAGTTACATTCAATTTTATCTTGTTACGATGTTGGATTTTGCCATGCTTTTGAAATTTTGCAAAATTTATGTCAAGGTTACTTGTAATGACAGAATGATATGAATTGTTTGTTACTTTGTTTAGTGTTTATTGAAGAGGGAGCGTAAGATGTGAGTTTTGAGCCAAGTGTTTTTCTAAACCATTCAAGGGGTTTTGGTTTGTGACCTTGTATTGGATCAGATTAAGTACTGTGTTCTCTCCTTTGTGGAGAGTAGTAGTGATGCAATAAGGTAGGAAGTAGAAATAGTGAATGATTGGAATGGAACCCTTACACGGTAGTTGAGCAATTCAATATTGATATACCAAGGCTATTTTTTAACATGTAACGGTAAATGGAATGGATTGGAATAAATTATGGTTCTATTGGTTGGATATTTTTACAATGAAATGGGAAAAAAAAAAAGGTGGTAATCTATGTCCCCCAAATTGAAAGGGAAGAGAAGGGTATTTGATTGAATGGAACGGAATGTATTCTTTTATGTTCCATTCGATTTCATCCTATTTTAAACATGCAATTCGTAAACAATGGAACCTAGTATTATTTCATTTCGCTTTTTACTCCATTTCATTATTTTCCATTAATTTAAACAGTAAACATAGACCTATAGTTGATCTTTAGGTGTTAATTTGGCTAAGATATGCTCCCTTGCAGTTCTAATGATATAGTACAACTTAGGAAAATGTTGTGCACTTGTTGTATGCATGGGTTGAGGTAAGACAAAAAATGACTAGTTTGTGTTCCGAGTCTTATGTGATTTTCATCCCTATCTCCATCCTTGTCGGGTATCGAGTATACTCGTACCTGTACTCGTACCCGTCAATTTTTTTATTTATTTTTTTTTGTAAAAAAATATGATATTTTTAAATTTTTTTTATTATATTATAATTATAATTAAATTATTTATCTATCTCATATTATAATAAATAATCAAACATAAAAAGATATTAAAATTCTTTAATATAATTAAATTGAAAGTGAGTATTAAATTAAAAGTGAGAATATGGAAACGGGTACGGGTACGGGTACGGGGCGGGTAAGTATATACCTGTACTCGTACTTGATTTCATATATTAGATTTTACCCTTATCTATACCTGTATTTGGTCAAATCAAGTATTTCCTGTCAAAATTGATATATATATATATATATATCATTTTGATTTATAGATTAGAAAAATGTTAGTATATTTGAATTTTGTATTGTAACTTTACTTTAATATATAGAGCCTAAAAATAAAAATATAACAAGTTCTTCTTGAAAAATATTTCTTAAAAAAAAAAACAATAATAATAGTTAATAATGGTAATAATGGTAGTTGTAATAATAGTAATTAGTGATAATGATAATTGTGATAATTATATCAGTAATGATAATGACAAATATTTGTATTTGATGTAGTGATTGTAACATGAAGTTTTTGACAAATATTATGAGATGTGCGTTTAATTAAAATCAAAAATAAAATTTACAATTTTCTCTTGATTTTAAAAGTAAAAGTAAAAAAGATTGAAATTGAATAAAAAACCATTTCATACCCATTTTACAGTTTTGTTTTAAAAATTACGTTTAAAAGCCAAACACTCGCAACCATCCCAAATAGACCTTAAATTTTTTTTTTCTTATGCTAGTTATTTTAAATTTGGATTTATCTGAATTACGTATATAACTTATTTTATAAGTTTGTATTTTAAATCTTTAATACCATCAAAGTTTCATATAATTGGTGTTTTTAATATTGGAAATTTTGTATCGATTAATGATATTACCAAAATAAAGTATATAAATGGAAATAATTCTTATATTATAAAATGATTTTGTAAAAATGAATTAAATTCATAATATATAAATTTAAGATAATATCAAAGTTCATATAGTGATTGTTATTGTTAGGCTTATCGGACCATTTGTTATTGAACCATCTATGGATACCTAATTTTATAAATTTCACCCTCGAGGTGTTCATTCTTTGGTAAGAAGGGGGTATGTTAAAAACTAATGGTATGATCAAAATAGTATTAGAGGGTAGGGGGAGGGAGTAATCCTCATCTTATAATTTAATTTTGTAAAGTTTAGTCGAGTGAATAGTCTACAAATCCAAAACCAACAAAGTTCCATATAGTTAGTATTAGTGCTAAAAACATGTTTTAGTTATTTTGAAACTATCACCTTTATCATATTTAGATGTAGAAATAACATACATTAAGAAAATTTTAGGTTTCTAATTTAGTTAATACAAGAGCTTTTGCAACAAATTTTAGCTCATGAGCTCCATTTGATGCTACTTAAGAGATTTTTTTATCTATTTTTATTTTTGGGAGCAAAGTTCCTATTTTCAACAATGTCTCACATGTTTATATAACATTCTTGAAAAATATAATCTTCCTTTGTTTCTACTAGTCATAACCTTTTTCCATTGAAGAAAGGAAGTTTATTGATAGCATGTTTTCATTATCCATAGCATTATTCTTGTTACTTTTACCCTTCACATTGTTAGATGATCAATTCCTAGAAGTTGAACTCTAGTATTAACTTAAATAAATGAGGTAAGCGCAAAAATATGGTTGAATTCTATTTAGTATAACTTTGAAATCTTTTTCGTAAATGATGTGTGTCAAAAAAGAGAAAATTTTTTTATACATAACTTATTAAAATACACAAAAAATAAAAATAAAAAATTGTTAAGAGAAAAGATAAAAAAAGAAACACAAATATTTATCATGATTCACTTTTAGATCTCGCTACATTCGACCTCTTCACCAAAATGTTTTCTTTATTGACTCAACAAACACACAAGTATTCTTCTTACCTCTTCAAGCAACAAAAATAGTATTCTTCCTACACACAAGTAACGCACCAAGTAATCTTTGACACTAAGTTTCTTTAGGTTTTCACATATACAAAAGTTGTTAATTTCATTCACCTTGGTCAGAGTATGAAAATGATGTATACTAACAATCTCTTTTAAGGATTTTTATGAAAGTGAGAGCTCTTTCAAAATCTATATAGATGATTTGTTTGATTCATACTATTTTTTTCAACATTGTTATTTTCTTTATATAAACTTGAGAAAATAGATTTTCTTCAACATCATGTGGTCTAGTAGAAGGTAGTTGAACCACTACAAAATCTATGAGAGCAACTTCCTCGTTGATCCATGACTAGGAGAGAAGACAACATTGCTAACAAGTCTAAAACAACTAGTAGGATTTTTCACACAACAAGTATATTGTGTGGTTTCTAAAGATAAAAATGTGAACATCCATTAAGTCTCAAGTGCTTCCTATTTATAGGAAAATGACAACACTATAACCTAGTGACTTTTGGACTCATTACATTAAGATATATCTTGGCCTATGAGAGACCTTATCTCCCTTCTTATAATTTTGGTCTATCTTCTAATTGTGTCTTACACACTATGAGTCAATTCAAAAAGAAATATTACAATCATGCATAATGTTTCACATTTTTTTCTTCTAATTTTTTGTTATGCATGTGACCTAATAGGTTCTCATTATGTTGGTAATAATATTAAATCTTAATATTATAAAGAGTGAGGTATCTAGCAACACATCACTCATACCAAAGCAATAAGACTATCCTATGATTCAATATATAATTTTCAATTACAATCTTCTTTGTGTTACATAGTCCGTTGTCCTAGATATCATAATTGAATACAAGGCGTATGTTATGTAATACTTGTATAGTTCAATTCTATTATATTCTTGATACCCAAGAAGACATTACAAGTCAATATCTCATATTAACTTACTTTGTATAGCCATGCATAATATGTCTTACTCAATCAAGAAAACCCATATAGATAAACTCTTGTTATCAAGGAGAGACAAATTTCATCAATATATATCACTCACATTCCTCTTTATGATTCGTTCTATTTTCAATAACCAACTTTATAACCACCTTATTACATCTAATGTTTGTTGGTATTATAACATATATCTTCTCATGTAGGAATTGTAGTAACTACATATATTAGGACTTTATACCCTATTGTCAAACTTAGAATCACTTATGACACAAACATAATTTTCTATACAACATTATAACTGAGATTCATTCCGATACATCATTACATTAACCATGTACATATATGAAGACTAGATATCTCATACATGATAATTATCGGTCTACTCACATACTTATCTTAATGTACTATTGTTAATATTGACAATAATACTTGAGTATGAATAATACATTGAATATCTCATTTTTTATTAATAAAATTGAGCAGAGTACAAATGTAAATCACATAGAAAACTATTGCACTCTAGATCTTTAAAATAATGTTTGTTAAAGGAGACTTTGAAAGTCCAATAACAACTTTGTTTTAAATGTTTGAACCATATAAAGAAAACATATCTGTTGTAAAAGTGGATCATCCAATACGTTTATGCTTAAAATAAGTATTGGACACTCATTCGCGATTGGATTTACTTATTTTAAAACATAATGTCAGACGTGTTTTATTTAAAAAGACTTTTAGAGTTGTAAGAATTTTAAGTTTATCCAAAGAAAGTCCATAAACAAATAAAAATTTATATTTGTTCATTAACTTTTTTGGGTACATGGTGCGTATTTTTGTTACACAATATTGTGCAATTTACTATTAGATGTCAATATTTTTCGTTTATAAATTTGAATAATCTTTATTATCATCACAATATTTAGAAATTAGATGTTTCATACATCTTTAGTTTTAATAGGCGAATTGGTTGTTCGGTCCAACCTGACCTGGGTTTCTCAAGCCCAGTTGCGAAAGCGGGTTGGGTCTGATCAACTAGAATTTCTAATGTGTTGTAAATTTATTGCCTAGATCTGGTCTATTGGATCTGGTCCAATTAGCCTTTATTTTAGCCTAAATATATACAAGTTTTACAAGAAAATGAAATAACAAACAAAATAGGCATAAGTTATTTTTAAGACGATATTTCAATTTTCATGGGTCAAACCACATTTGTGGGTTGTTCGGCCATAGCATAATTTGCTACCTCTTAATAAGCTGTATCTCGAAAGCTACTGTTTGGAATTCTGCAAAAATATTTCAGTGTGTTTTTTAAAAAATACAAATATGCGGAGGTGCAAAGAGGATACAAATGGCATTGCTTATCACATTTGTAGCCACAAAGGGTTATTATTAACTTTTTAGTGAATAGAATTAATTCACGTACCTATAAAATTTATAAAAAGAGAAAAAACAACGAAGAGGCCTATATTTACATTTTTCATGTAATTTTACTTTAGTTGTGTTGTGTTCATTGTTGTCTTAATAATATTACAAGTAAATTGTACTGATGCTTCGTGAGATTTCGTGAAATTGTATTTGATATCCTGTTTTATCTAATATTTATAAAAACACTCCTTATAGAGAAACATGCAATATTTTTCAAACAATTAAATGGTAGTGGTAGTGGTGAATGTAACATTTTTGCCAACTTAGCATCTGGATCAAAATGTATATTAGCAAGTCAAAAGCAGGTTTTGGTCCATAATGTGAAGACTCATCTTCCAGCAGATATTTCATGCATCTTCTGATTAGGAAATTTACATTTTCCTATGAAATAATTGGACTGAACATATAGAGATAATTCAGGCATAACCGTAATTTAAGGTACAAAACAGTCCCAGTGCAACTACTTCAGTCAATAATCACTTCTCTATGCTTTATGAATATAATGTTAAAAATAAATATTAAAAAAAATCCTATCCTATAAATTCTTCCAATAAACCATCTCATCAACCTATTCAACAACTCTTTACACAAAATCTAGCACATTTTTGGTACATGAATCATTAGGGTTTACAAGCATGAACCTAGTTTATATAATTATGACATGAAGTGCCATATTTCAGTATCTTGCATGTGTATGAATTTAGAACTCATTGCTCTAAAGCCTCCCCATGGATCATAGAATAACCCACAAAGCATGTGTTAACCTTAGAAAGTGGCTTGCCATCAACTCATTCAATTAACATCTGCACCTTCATGTAGATGTACTTGTATGCTGATGATCATATTTAATCTTATACTTTTGTTATATTGCTAGACATACTACTAGAGAAAGTATTCAGTGGTAAATTGTCATGAAATTCTGGCTGAAAGATACTCCACAGATGCAGTGTGCCTCATATTCTCAAAATCCGCCTTAACTTGTAAACCTGAAAAGGTAGGAAGTCTTTATCCTCAGTACTGTCAAGCAGAAGTAGTCAATACAAAGAAATGCATATACTTCAAAAGTTCTGCACAGAACATCAGATTGAAGGTTTGTAATATATGAATTTCGCAATGAGTAATCCTAGTAGGACTGTAGGAGTAATATAGTACAATTTCTATTTATAAAAACCAATAGACTTTTATAAATTGGAAAAGGGGGAAAACTCCTGCACATAGAGTTGGCGACTTATCACAGTAAGTGCCGAAGAAAGAAATTGAGTGCTAAAATGTAGATACGATTCTTTCTATTATCTAGGCAATATTAGTGTCGAAATCGAAACTATTCATGTTTGCTTCAACATATTCCCCCCATAACATCAAATTTAATTGATGCCGAATAATTATATCCAGAGTTTCAGAAATCACAAAATTTTGAATCCATATACATACATAGAATAAATGAAATCATACAAACAGTTGGCTTTCGGGATCAAAATTGTGACTAAAAAAAATTCAGGATCGCCAAGGATTAGTTTAGTGCCCCCCTAAAAAGGGTTATAAGCTTATATAAAAAAAATAAAAAATAAAAAAAAGGAGTGTAGAAAAGGATTATGATAAAGTCATTCCTTAAATTTTCCCTCAGAATTTTGAGAGGATGCCCAACTGAGTTTCAAAAAGGTGCTGGTATGAGTCACACATCAAAAAGAGAATAATATAATATTTTAACCGAAAGAATAGAGTTCAACAAAATCAGACAGTTAGTGTCTTAAACCTTTCTGCACTTATCTGTAGATTGCCGCGAAAGAAAGCATTAAATGAGGAGCACAAGGAAATCAGAAACCCTAAACTCTATATGATTAATTTTAATTTTTTTCCCTTACTGTTTATAGTTATTGATACCAAATAGAGGATAATGAAAACCTAGAAAAATGACTTCAACTTAGATATACTTCAATGCTTTGATTGCATAACTATGATAGACATATGGTCCTTGGGAATAAACTGAAATGTAACAGCAATAAAATAATCAACCTGAGCAGTTCTGCTGGGTAGTGACACCTCTAAGCAGTTTCGAGGGCCATCAACTCTGTCAATAGTCAAAACATTTGTTGCACAGATCAAAGATACAAAAATAGTACAAATGATTCTCCTTAAAAAGAAGAAAAGATGGAAAACCAAGAATTTCAAGGAGCACAAGTACCTTCTGCTGATAGTTTTTTGAAAATATTGGTCTTCTTTAAGGCTCCCTTGACCTCCATACTTTATTTCATCTGTGTTCAGAATAATCTGTGCCAACAAAAAATCAGTTATCCCTTCAAATGGCCTAAAACAAAATTATTAAAAAGCTTCACCTTCAGACAGATTAAAATAAGCAAAGATAAATAATAGTAATAATAACAATAATAACAATAACAAAAACAACACGAGAAGTTAAAAATTCCAAGATGAATTAACACTTACTTGATACTCCCCGGCCTCTTCTACTCCTATGCTGTAACTATCATAAGAATCTTTTGGATGAAAATTGAAAACAAAGAGAAGGGGACCTCTGATGTAAGCTATGACCTGCAAATAGTTGAAGTGTATACTTTTACTAAATAGATTATTAATTGACACCTGTTGGCATGCTATATAATAAACCACTTAAAATATATAATACAAATATGTCAAGGACTTGTATATATAACAGAAGAAAGAACTCATCAAAAATGTAACAGAAGAAAGCAATGCATGATGCCATTGGAGTTTAGACAAATGTAGAAAAGGACATATACCATTGAACTGTCAATGAATATGCCAGAAACTAATTAAGAGGACAATTAATCACCAATTATGTTAAAGGAGAGAAAGGAATAAAAAAACATTCACTTTACCATTGAACTATCATTAACATGATGAATGCTTGGAAAACCTCGTGAGAGCACTCTCTCATTTTCATCCAGCTTCATCATGTCCTGAAAAGAAGGGGACATGTAATAATTGCAATTTCATTGCTTAGCATTTTAATATTCGCTGGTTACAGTCCTGTCACAAACACAAAACCTGAATCTGAAAGAAGCTTCGAGCCTAATATGATTACTTAGGTAAGAAATTCAACAAACTGCTAGCAGCCTAAACTGTTTATGAATAAAAAATTATTAGCAAACTCAAAACACTATACAAATTGATGCATTTGAGATTTGACCAGTTCAATATCCCAATTACTTTCCAAGAACACAACTTTTATACGATCACCTTATCAAAGGAAAATAAATCACGGTGAACTCCATCTTTGGCCAAAAGATCCCACTGACGAGTAGCAAGCAAATATGAGTTATTGTTGCTTGATGTTGGAAATTCAACTCTCTGGCACAGGCAAAACATCAACATATTATCGGTCACAAACAAGGATATATATGTGCATATTTAATATTAGTAATCCTCACCTTTGGATGCCCAAATTCATTACCCATGAAGTTCAAATAGGCACAACCACCAATTGTTAACGTGATCAATCTGATCATCTAGCCCAAAAGTAAAGAAAATTAATAAAGACAAAGGATGATGAAAATCATAGGAAAAGTCACTTTACATGATATATATCTACCAAAAGCATGTTACTTTTAATATAGAAAACGAGGAAGAAATTTTAGTGAAAAAAATCCAGAAGCAGAACCAACAGATTTATGCTAGACCTCCTGCATAATTACCCATGTTATAACAGTCATACTTAACAACTTGGAGAGAGACAAAGGTAAACAAAATTTTAGTTCTAATTTCAAAATCTTTGTTTTCACTTCTAAATAGTAAATTTCCAGAAAAGTGAACAGCATACTTTATGTAATGAAGATCCCCTCAATAAAGATTCCTTATAGTGATGTGAATTCTTGTCTAATTCGCCAAACAATATTTCTGCAAATGATCGCCTTCCAGATATGGACTGGAGCAAGAAAGAAAAAAAAAGATTTAAATCAATACCAAAAAAATAAAGCTCACAGTTCTGGAAATTGAAAAGATAGCTACCTGGTTGTGATTTTCAGCGTACATAAGCATCTTATCAGCATATTCTTTATTTGAAATTAATGTGTTAACAATCTACAGCAATAGAAACAATATAAATGAAATTATAGAATTAATTAAAAAAAAGGTAAAAGACTAAAAGGACCAACCAAAATCATTTCATTAATGAAGGAATGATCAATTATACTCAAGTACAACCTTAGTCATGTTCCATTCATGATCAGGAACACTCTCAAGAAAAGTTGACCACAAATCAGACACAGAAAGGTTGACATAGTAATCAAATCCCAATCCACCTTGAGAAGTTGGCTCACATAATCCAGGATAAAATGTTGCCTGAACAATAAGGGATACAAACATTATATTATACACAAAACAATGAAAAGACCTCAGGATAATGATGCTCTAGCTTTAAAATATATGCAGCCCACTACTAACAGGCATGGGATGGTGGACAAATACAAGAAGTCACTAAAGAAACAGGAGGAAATCACTGAATACAAGCAAATTACCATGTATGATTTAATGTTACATTAAATAATTAACAACAGTAACCTTCCCCCCATCCCCCTCCCACGAAAAAAAAAAAAGAAAAAAGAAAATAAAAATACCACATATTATTTGTTAAATTGGCTTGTTGAACTTGAATCATGATGAATGCTTATCCTTTTTAATGGGTTAACCTACTTGATGAGCCTTTTAATCAACCCTTCTAGCAACTAGGTTGAGCCAGCTACATAGTTAAATAATGTCAATGAGATATAACAAAATCCATTATATTTGCAAAAACCAATTAGAGTAAAGTCTCTTTTAATGGCTAGATTTACTTTGGTCTTTCTTTGTGCCTTTTAGTCAGTTTATCTTCCATTTGACTACAATCAACCAACTACATCATTCCAATTCACAAATCACAATAAATGGCTTATTTTTCCTTTTTCTGTTAAATCTTAAGAAGTTCTGTGCACATAAGTATGTAAAAGTATCTAAAATTCTAAATAAATGAAAAGAATATAAACACTTACATCTTCCGCTATTGTGATGATATTTGGGTGAAGATCATGCAATATTTCATTGGCCAATATAAGATATGCAAGTGCATCCTTGTCAACATATTGGTTGCAGTACCTGAATGAAACTAACATTTGTAACGTATGCATTTTTTAATGTAATTATGTAACCTATTTAAAAGAAATCTAAGTCTAAGTAGTACAATCAGTAAACTTGAAATTTTGCAAATGTCAAGTTGTAAAACAAAAAAAAATTAAAATTGACAATGATACTGGAAACCTTAAAAAGTCTTTTGAGAGGGCAAAAAGTTCAAGAGAATGAGTTCACAACAGCATTAAGATTTGAGCAGTGTCTTGGAACTAAAATATCTTTGTAAAAACCAACTAAAACTCAGTATATTTATCCAAACGAAGCAATAAATTTTGAAAAAGGTCTTACTCCTCCAAGTCACCCGTAAAAGAAGCAAAACCATTGTGAGTATACATCATTGACGAAACTGAATGGAACTGAAAACCATCAATTTGATACTCCATAATCCACCTGTCCAAACATCATTTCATGAGTAATTTAGTATATACCATTACCAACATCCTGCCAAATGATGAAGCAATAAAAAAGTAATAAACAAAAAAATAATAAAATAAAGTTCTGTATAAAATAATTAATGAATAGACTAATTAGGTAGAAAGACAATGGTTCAAAGAGACAACTGCAACCACTAGTGTACTCTACGCTATCTTTGCTTTGCAATTGCATATACCAATTCAAGTTTGATAGAAGGAAATGCAAAACATCAGGATCACCATATTTGAACATTCTGGTTCCCCAATACTTGTGTTGCCCTCGTTTACCTATTCAACAAGGAAATTTGAAATCAAAACTAGTATTTACAGGTAGTGGGATGATGCTAAAGCAGAGTAGGAAAAATCAATACAGTATTTTCTTTATATAGGGAGACAAAAGAAATTATAAATATCATACTCAGAAAACATATAAAAGAATCTCATCTGACAACAAAACAATTTACAAAACAGAAAAAGAATTCAATTATATGTAAATAAAATACGAAGCTTGTCCAGGATGGCTACCCTTTAATAGTACTATTGTAGTCATGTATATCAAAAAATTTAAAAGCAGAGATGAAATTTAATATATCAATAATTGACAGAAGATAACAGAAGAAACATCATTCGTAGACTAATAACTGATGTCACATCAGACAGGCTGATTTGTCAAGGGGGAAAAAGAAAAGTTCCATGTTACTAAATGAAAAGGTTTGAGTAGCATGAACAGGTACCAGAACGAAAAAAACAGTCATTTGATCCATCAAACATTGATAATCCGACCATCTCATCTGCTGCTGCATATGAATGGACAATTTCTAAGAAGACGAGCAGTCCTAATCCTGTGCAGTCAAAAGCAGAGTTAGCAAAATAGTCTGTTTTGCACAACAGAGGCTAAGAAGAGATTTTTTCATTATATATTATATATTATATACTTTAGCCTTCAATGCAAAATAAGGAAGAACTTCTCCAAAAGCTTAATAGCTGTAAATACTTGATAAAGCAGTAGTAGGTTAACATAGTCAGTACAAACAATTAAAAAAATCCATCAGTACAACATAAAAATGCTAACCATGGGCCTCATCAACTAATCGCTTGAAATCCTCAGGAGTGCCATATCGACTACTAACAGCAAAAAAATTTGTAACCTGTGCCAACAGATAAGACTTTAACCATGTCCTCAACTAGCTTATAATAGTGAACTTCAGATTTAAGCATAGTCAGAATCAAATTGTTAAAAAAGAGAATGTCACTAAGGGTCAGAGTAGCAATAAACTACTAATAAAACTTATAAGCAGATATAAGTGGAATTCCAGTATGTGCACATAGTGTGAGCCGTGACTTGCAAGATAATGTATGACTTTTGCACAATTTATATTTTATACACGTCAATTATTACAATCCGGTTTTTCATACAAATCATTTGGCAATGGCATCAATTGCTACCGACTTTGTCTTATACATTAATATTTAATAATACTTAATTTAATAGATATATTAAATTCAGAGGTCAACAAAGCCTAACATGGTTACATTAACCAAGAATAGAAGCTTCACATTCAGATTTACAACCATGACATTAAGAAAGACCACTAAATATTCCTACCTTCTGGTCATGCATTCTCAGACATATTGACATAGTGAGCATCCACATTAGTAACAAGCACAACTTCTAAGGAATCTTAATCACAATATATTTACAGTGAAAAAATAAGCAAGAATCACAATATTTAACTTACTCTGTAACCAACTGTAAAATAATCCTTATGTTCAACAATTCCAATCAACTGGATGGCATTGTATCCAGCTTCCTTAATATAAGGAAGAACCTACATTTTCCATATAATAAAAATAAAAATTCAATGGAGCCAATTACAATATATAGACAAGATAGATATGTATAATGGATTAATTATAATTTCCAACAAAAAGAAATGGGGGGAAAACCTTGTCTGTGAAATCATTGAATGAGGATACTTTTGGCTCAGAACCACTAATTCCGATGTGAGCTTCATATATCCGTAGGGACTTTGGTACTTTGGGATTTGTATTTCTCCATTTGTATGCATCCTCAGGAGGTGGTTCCCAGTGGATTGCATAAGCTTGCCTTCCTTCTGCCTCTGCAATGTATTAAATGAGTATCATTCAGATAACACAAAAATCAGTATAAATACGATAAATATATATAATAAATAGCACAAAGAATGCACATCAAGGTAGAGAGAAAACTCCACCCACCACCAAAAAAAAAACAGAAATAGAAAGTGACCAAGTGAATTAGGCCTTTTTCCTTCTTTTAGTGAATTTAGGTATACTAGCATAGCATTCTACATTTTTTTATTATTTTATAAAACTGAACTTTTAAATAGAACATAGATTCATAACTTTTAAGTGCTATTCAAACCCAAAATTGGCATTAGTTGAAATAAGTGTATTAACATAGGAAAATGAACAAAAGTTTAAATTATGGAAATGGTGATAATACATGAATTTCTTTCTAGGGTATAAATTTTATCACCTAGTGGGATAAGACTTTTGTTGATGTGGGTTCTAAATTTTATACCCTATAAATAAATAATGCCAACATCAAGTAAGCTCTAAACATATCTTCCAAGTCTAGGATGCATTTTAGCTAATGCTCATTTTGAGAAAGAGAGAGAATGGGAGACATAGGATGAAATTGTGTTTGAAATACACAGTAGAGTAAATATCTATAATTAAGAGTCATAAATACAGGGGTAAAAACAACTAATTACAAAAATATACAATTACTCTAATTAACATAATTACATAATGTATAATCTCCCGTCACTATAATTACATTATTTCTAACTGTTCAAAGCATCTTTCCAAAATGCATGCCCAATTAACAAGAAAAAATTAACATATATGGCTATGCATGAGATCATGCAAAAGAATGCAAAATACCATGATTAAATGAGTAGGAAGATTTTACAAAAGAAACAACCACAAGATACTACACTTGACCAAACAGAATTCTAGTTTATATATTCACAGACAATTAGACTTTCAAGAATTCATATAAGATTTACCTGGCTGCACATATGTAGCCCAAGCAGGCACCCTCTCCAATGGTCCATTAGGAGTGTTGAAGTAGACCCTGTACTTACTGCCATGAGGAATGCCAGGACTATACTTTTTCAACCAAGCCTTCCTACCTTTACGTGTCTCAAACCAGTACATTACAGGAGGTTTCAGTGCACGTACTTTTTCATGCCATTGAGGATCAACTATCACATTAAATATGTCATACTCCTTGCCACTATCAATCACAGCAGTAGGGGAAGGGCCATGCTTTGCTGCCCATTCTTTGTATCTTGTTTCTGCATCCGGTATGTCCGGCAGGTCCTCTAAGGTCTGAGGTCCATTAGGACCAAATATCTGCTCATATAGTTTCACCGGCCCTTCAAAGCGATGGTTCACAAAACGGTCTTCTCCTGGTTGCCAGTACTCCTCATTCGCTTTCTTTATGAGCTCTTCAGCAGTGACACCACTATCCCCTTTATCATAATCATCTATATAGTTATACATTTGAAAATAGTATTTATCTGGCTCTTCTCCCTCTCTCAGCTTATCTTGAAGAATGATGAACCAGTATCCATAATCATCATGACCAAAGTAATGCTCTTTTGCACAATTTTCTGTAGGTGACCATCCATTGAAGTCACCGATAATTGCACAATAGCGAGCCCCTGCATTTACTTGCTTGTCAAAATAACAATGCTGGACAAAAATCAAGTTCAAACAACAGATTTTTTCTTGGTGGCAATGGCAACTTCACAAAATAACAATTTCACTGTATAACAACTCTACATATGGGCCCATGTGTAGGTCACTAGTAGCAAAAAGTTAAGCTTTTACATTAATACTAGGGGACAGATAAAGCAAGTATAGCTCAGACATAAAAGACTTGACTACATTTCACAAAGAACATAGAATAATTCAAGTTTAAGAACATCCATTAGAATATACTGATTTGGCAAATATCTAGGGTGTAATATAAAACTCAGGATGATGGAATCTAACATTGAGAAATGATTCTTGCCAAAAATAAATTAAATAAATTAGACTACACATTCAATATTTGGGATTTGAGAAAGACACAGATCCTAAGAGAAAACCTAGGGGATAATGTCTAACCTGGAGCCCATTCCATATAATCCACCCGATGTTCTGGATGACGATGCATACCCAGTAACTCAAACCTGGAGCAATTCATGAACAGATTTGTAAAATAAATATTAGCAATAACTTCAAACATCATAACTCAATGACAAATAATTTCAAGAACACATGCAAAACATAATACACAGCACACTATTTCTCCGAACTATGGTAGATTGAATTGATAGCGAGTTAAAATATTCAAAGACTTCCATTACAAGGAATAATGTAGCTTATGGCTGAGAGAACCGAATTACAAGCTTAAAGCCACATAATAATGGAACTAACCCAGAAGCCAAAACCATGAAGCTCTCGTGCCGCTTCAAAATTTCATCTTTCATGTCCTTCAATACTTTATACCTGTAAAACCAATGATCATTAACATCTAATAATGCCAAGCATCAAATTTCCAATACATGTAGGGGCAAAAACATAAAGAGCCCATAATAGCCATGTCACTCACATGCAAAACAAAAAATGAAAAATAAACAAGTTTTCCCCCATTTTATGTAGGCATAATTACACTCATTATGCGACACCCTTATCAATGAAAAACTACACCAACTTATCCTAAGTTCTTACTTCATATACTATTCTTACATCTCAATGACCCATTTATTTACAAAATTACACACAACTTCCCGATTCTTATTTTTGTAGTTGTAAGAACCCTGCACAAGGTGTTTCAAAGAAGAAATCAAACTCCTCTAAAGTCACCAGCTCACTTTAGAGAATAAGGTAAGTAAATTTGGTGTATGTTTGGATACCAGTAGGGGAAGCTCGAAAGTACTTTTACTCGTAAAACAAAAAAAAAAACTCTTCCTTCTTTAATTCGTATCTTGGAACTCAGAAATGCGCATTAGCATTTAGAATTCTCAAAAGCTCGTTCTCATCCTTTATCCAAACCGATTCATAAAAAAAAACTTTGTATATTACGTGCACAGGCATAATAATAAATCATGAGTGTGTTACAATAACAATCATTAATTTTCTCATTAACAACTGAAATTACATACTTTGAACATTTGTGAATAAACTTCTCTGAAAGTATTTTTCCGAGAGAAAAGAAAATGGAATATGTTTTCCATAAACTAAAATTAGTTTATCCATAAGCTAATTCGTAAAAGTTCTTTCTGGTTAGCTTTGTCTATTAGAAATACTTCTAAAAAAGTTTATCCAAACACATTATTTCCCGATCACTCACTTTAGAGGAGCCTAAGAAGCAGAGTGCCAATGCAAAGTAATGTCATATGAAGATAGTGCAATTACCCCTTCTACTTAAGCTCCCAACTTTCCATCACAACCACTAAACCAAACAGACCCAGAAAAGCCAAACGCGAATTCTACCAAACAGCACGCAAGTTTCATTTCAATTTTCCAAATTTCTTGCCTTTCACGGAGGAACTGGGCAAACGCTTTGTGGGAAATGCCGCGCTTGGCGAGAAAGCCAGCGGGGTCGATGCCCTTTTCGCCATCGCCATCAGCAGTGTTTTCTGCTTTGGAGTCTCTCTGCTTCTTCTGATTGGGGTTTTGGCGTTGGTGAGGGTTCTCAGAGGCAGCACAAGCTGTTGTTGTTGTTGTTCTTCTTCTGCGTTGGAAAGTAACGGTTCGGGGTTTGGTTTGGGAGTGAGGGGAGGAGGTGGTGGTGGTTGGAGGGAAGCAGAGTCTGTGTGGGATTGAAAGAGTTATCATTGTTTGAGTTTGAGATAAGGAACAGAAGAAGAGAAGCAAGACGCTGTTCAGTCTTGTGTCGAGTTTTAAGAGAGGTTTTTCATTTTTGAGTCCACTCCGCAAGCCAAAATCTGAAAAGGAGAAAACAGAGATTTCAAAATGGTTCTATGTATGGTAGAATTTAATGAAGGTTAAAATACTTTTTTACTTTGCATAGTTTACCCAGTTTTAATAATTTAAAAATACATTTTTTGAATTTTTATACTTATATTTTTTTATTATTTTTAGTCTTTGTCAATAATTTTTTTCTAATGTTGTTTTTGTGTAAGTAACATGGATTTATTAAATTTACGTGATAGTAATATATTTAATATCGTGGATCATAATGTGTCTCTTAATGATTTGGAAAAAAAATGAAGAGTCTAAATAATTTTGTGGATAATTAATATTTTTTATGATGAATATGATCGAGATGAACGATGAAATTATGGATGACTACATAGATAGTTATTAAATGACATATTGTCGTTCAAAAAATTAAATACATCATGTCATTTAGATTTAATGAGTGCATGTCACTTACACAATAAACAAAATTACCAAAAATTAACAAAACTAAAAAAGATTAAAAAAAAATATAAATATAAAGTTTAAAAATATCTATTTAAAATAATAGATATTAAAAGATAGTGTTAATAAAATTTTATAGACTAAAAAGATATTTAAACCTTTAATTAATGAGTCTATAATCATTTTTCCTCTTTAAAATTAAAAGGTCGAGTAGTTTTTTTTAAGCCATGTACATTTTCATTATGTGGGTATTCAGGACTAAAACTTAAAATCAATGTTTAAATTAATAGATAAAAAAACTTTAAACTATAAATCTTAAATTAGAATAATTCCATGATAATTAATTCACGTATTTGATGACAATTATATTAATTTGTGAATCAAAAGAACTTAAAAATAATTTTAAAAAATTGATAATAGCCTAAAATTAAAGTAAATTGTGACCAAAATATAATATTAATATATATTTTTCAAATAAAATTAATATTAAATAATTAAATTAAAGAGAACTAACTATTTATCATTATAGAGAAAGAATCGGGGTTGATTTATGATGATAGAATTTCAATGAATGAAAAATAAAATTTAAGTTAAAGTTATTTTTAGAATTAAATAACAAAATAATTAGAAGAAATTAGGAGATAAAATTAATTATTGAAAAGTAGAAACTAAAATACTGTATTCTTTTTTATATAGTCATAGATTTTAAAGACTTTTTAATAATTTTCTAGCATTAAGAATTAATGTGATAAGAAATTGTGTGTTTTGTTATATAGAAATTAGAGAAGAGAGAGAAAAAAGTGATTCCCGCACTTTTTATTTTCTTACAAATATGCTTGGAAAATGTACAGTAACTCACGCAAAACCAAAAATAATAATAATAATAATAATAATAATCAACTGAATTGAAGTTAGTTTATAATCAATTATCATGGACTTCTTCACTAAAACAAATTCATTTCATTGAGTTAATCAATTAAATAAAAAATAATCAATTGCTTCTTATTTAATTAATTAAATTAAAATTTTAATCGATTATTCAATTTATAAAATTGATTTTAAAAACATTTTTAATTTTTTTATTTCTTTCTTTATATTTCTCTTAAACTAAACACTTCTATTTTCACTCCTTTTCACTTATTTCTTTCCTTTGTCCCAAAAAAAAACCCTTGATGAGATCACAATTGAACTACAAACTCAACGAGAGATACTTTGTTGTCATGCAAATAAAGATAGTAGTACTCAACGCCTCTAGGTTGCTTGGACCGAAGAGGTTTGAGAACCAACTTTTATTAAACAATTTTCAACCATAAGTTACAACTAATTTGGTTTTCTATCTGCTGATAACCACTGGATTATGAGTAGGTCCAGTTAGCTGGCAGAATAAAAAAAAATGATTGCTTCAAACATGCCTCGAGCATTAGTTATATTCTAGTTAGCTAGCAGAATAAAAAATTGTTTGATTTAAGACAGGATCATTAAGATGAACCACTGCGCAAACTAGCTAGCAAATTAAAATTTGACGTAAAACATTTATTTCTTAGTATGCGAGGTAAGAACCAAAAAAATAAAACCATAGCACAAGTATAATCCACAAAACAAGACAGCTAGAACCAGGAATCAAACATGATAACATGCTACCATTATTATATACCATTGTATTTGATACTCTCAGCCTTTCTCACTCTCACATGCACGCATGCTCGGACACAAATTCACTGGTTAGCATAAACAAGTATTCCGTAAAACAAAAACAAGAAATAGGAAGATTGCATATCAATTGTTTTTATGGTGTAGAGACCAACTATGAACTTCTTTTATTACCAATTCCATCCCATCAATTACAAAGGTAAATGAATACAATATAGTTCAGACCATCTGCGCATTAATGTATACAGTGTATATATATATATATATATATATATATATTTAGGGTTTATATAACCCTTAATGAATACAAAGGTAAATGAATTGTTTTTATGGTGTAGAGACCAACTATGAACTTCTTTTATTACCAATTCCATCCCATCAATTACAAAGGTAAATGAATACAATATAGTTCAGACCATCTGCGCATTAATGTATACAGTGTATATATATATATATATATATATATATATTTAGGGTTTATATAACCCTTAATGAATACAAAGGTAAATGAATTGTTTTTATGGTGTAGAGACCAACTATGAACTTCTTTTATTACCAATTCCATCCCATCAATTACAAAGGTAAATGAATACAATATAGTTCAGACCATCTGCGCATTAATGTATACAGTGTATATATATATATATATATATATATATATTTAGGGTTTATATAACCCTTAATGAATACAAAGGTAAATGAATTGTTTTTATGGTGTAGAGACCAACTATGAACTTCTTTTATTACCAATTCCATCCCATCAATTACAAAGGTAAATGAATACAATATAGTTTATATATATAGAGAGAGAGAGAGAGAGAGAGAGAGAGAGATTACAACTTCCCACTATTCTTGTTTCTTTGGATACTCCCTCGGTCCAAATATTGTAGACCCAATTCTCACATTAGTACTACCCATTTCAATCTGCAATGACAAAAATATTTATCAACTGTGGCATGTATACAATTGATCAAGAGTAAAAGAATATCAGTTAGATGAGAAATCTTAGTAGTTCAAAGAAAGACTGAAGTAGTAACTTATCTATCAATAAGTATTTTCAAAATGCATCACAACCAATACTGATCAAAAGAAATGTGCCAGTGTCATCATAACAATATCTATAAGCTATGAAAAATGCTAACATATATTACTCTATTATTAGGTGAAATTCATGAGGGGTTCACTAAATAATGTGGATTTCACCTCCTATTTAACGAGTTTCATTTATGATAATGTGGACTTCACCTCCTATTTAATGAGTTTCATTTATGATTTAGATGGATCTCTCTGAATTCTATTCAATATAAAGAACATGTTAGAAAATGTGTTGTTAACACTCTTCATACACTATCCATCATCAGTCATCGCTGCAAGTATCAAAGAATCCCATTCCCATGGTAATTGTCAATTAATTCCCTGATGAGCTAAAAATCATCCAGAACTGTGAGATAACCACATGTGCAATCATGCAATGCAACTATCAAGAAAATTAGAACTGCTAAATAACTTTAGCACACTATTCCATACCGCTAACTCAAAATCACCAGACATGCCCATCGACAGTTCACATTCCTCCTCGGGCATTTCAAGTGCCTTGCATACTTCAGTTCTGCAATTTGATAGGGTCTGTTTTTTCACAAAAGAGAAAACCTTAGCAAACAGCCAAATAGACTTTGGAATACAAGGCACATAAAACTGTACTACAAACCCAAAAAAATGAAGGTAAAATGCAGATCAAATTTCAAAAAAACAATATTATGGTAATAACTGAAACAGTTCTGAAATGGAGTTCTGACAAACAAGAAACAGATCATTTCAGGGAGTTCTCTAAATGCTTCATAATATACAGAGAGAATTTATTACCTGAAAGTTCTGCGGAGTAGAGGTATAGTCTGGCATTCCTATTGTCATTAAGCCAGAGAACACTAGGTTTGGGCAGCTCAATTTCACATGTTTTGCAAGCTCAACACAATTGGAAGGATCAACACCAGATTTGGCTGCAACAACATGAGAATAAAAAAACAACTTTATTTATGTAAAATATGTAAGAAATGAGAGCATTATATTCAGACAAACAATGAACTCCAAAGTACTTGAAAACATGCCATTGCCAATAGATAATAGAAGAATATGATACATTGTGTTAACATACAATGATGGAATAGCTGCAATTTTCCAATCTAATAGCTGACAAACTATCTTAGCATGACAGATTAAGTAACATCACTCAGTTTGAATGCAGTACAATAACCCTGGGATAAGGGGAAAATATTTGAGTTATTTACCAAATTAAAAAGACTCGGTATGCGAAGACAAGTCAGTAACACAGAAATAAACAAGTTACAATGCAAGAAAAAGGATTTCCAAATTCCGATACCTCAAACAAGAATTGGCCTCACCCAAAGGGAGTGGGGAACCCTCATAAGATCCAAAAAATATGACAAGGAGTTAGAGTAACTAATTATTTTAAGCTGAACTTACATTCTTCCCCACTGGTATTTACTTGCACCAAAACCTTAAGAGGATTTCTTCCGAGGGTTGATACCATACGGTCAAGATGATTTGCTATCTGCAGTTCCAGAGGTTCAAGAACACTTATAAGGCTTGTCAAATGGAAAAAAGGAATTTGTTAGAAAGTTAGATGTAACAAAATTACAATTTGAAATTTTAACTAGTATTTACTAGGTATAGACCTTGTCAACAACAACAACAATACTAAAAAGTAGTTAATAATTGAGCACAACGCGAAGACCAGTATTATCTAGATTCCTTCAAATTAGAGCATAAAATAAAATGAAATGCAACAAATTCATGTCTCCAAGAACCACAAGTAATATTTGTACATGTCTACCTTCTGATTGTCTATTGTCTCAACCACGGCTAGATTTGGAACTCCACCTGCATAAAGTATGCAAGGTTAACATTCACCAAATTAAGGGTGTTGAAGAAAGGAACAATTGAACAAGCTCAAACAAGATAATACAAGTCAAGCAATATTTTCAACAAGTTCAACGCCAACTGAAATAATGTACAAAATTTTGTAACCTTCTCTGATGGCAAAATTGAACTGGCATCACCACTGCACCTTTATATGCAAAATTTAGTCCCTATTTCATCTCTAGCATTTGTTGCCGTTACAACACCATGAGATTGTTATGGTGTTCTAATATGACATATAAGGATTAAAATAAAAATAATCATCACAAAAAGGGACCAAAAATAGTACTTATTTGTTACTCATTTTCAAACCCAATAATAGTATTATGTGTCACTCAGTGGTATAACATACTAAAATACTCTTTAAAAAATGAGAGGTGTATTAATATTATCCCAATTATTTTTTTAATAAATAATATATGCACCAATGGTGTAAAGGTTTTTTACACTATCATCTAATTACAAACTACATGCAAGGTAAGTTTGTTAATTTTTATAATAATTACTGTAAAACTCATATTAAACATGATTTTTGATTGGTTGAAAGTGTTTTCCAAATTCCAATTAAAAAATTTTAAAGTATTATAGCAATGTTACAACTTAGATTCATCAACATTGTGTTTGGTATCTAAGAAACAGCGAAGAAATAGAGTGGAGAGAGGAGAAATGGGACGTGAGCAATAAGATATGTGATTCAGTTGCTACGTGAGAAATTAAAAATGAGCGGGTCCTATGCATTTTTTTACTTCCTTGCATATATGTGTAGAGATAGACGTGAAAACTGCTATATAGCAAAGGTGCCCTCACTTTGTGACTCTTGTAGCATATATTTGAATATGTAACAAATGCCATGAGCCAACTTTTGCTTCTAATCGACCAAGGTTGATGCTTAATCAAATACAAGCAAACCAAAATGACCCCTGCTGTAACGAGCATAAGGCTAAGGAGGGGAACCATCCCTCAAAAGCCGGCCCAAGAGGTTGGAGAACCTCCCGCCTTATAAGGCCTCCCTGGTAAGGAGACCTCCCCGATGTGGGACTTGTTACATTACCACCCCCTTCGAAAGCCAGCGTCCTCGATGGCTGCACTCCACGGTACTTCACTCACCGGTACTTCACTCGGCCTTTGCCGGTCAGAACCCTCCGGTGGTCAGAACCCTCCGTGGGTAGCCCTTCTCGAGTTGGCTGGCTCTCAACGAAAGCACCATTGTAACGAGCATAAGGCTAAGGAGGGGAACCATCCCTCAAAAGCCGGCCCAAGAGGTTGGAGAACCTCCCGCCTTATAAGGCCTCCCTGGTAAGGAGACCTCCCCGATGTGGGACTTGTTACACCTGCACATTAATATTAATCGATTGACTAGAGGCATATATTTGAACATGTACAAAAAGCCGCGAGTAAACTTTTGCTTGTAATCAATTAAGGTTGATGCCTAATTGATAACAAGCGATTAAAATGCCCTAGCACTTTGGTGCAATCGATTAAACGTGTTCAATATTCAAATAATTTGACAAAAACACTACACTTACATTAGAAGGGTAAATTAGTAAATTTACTTATATTATAATTTCTTTCCTAGAGGATCCATTCAAACCAAACAACTCTATAATATTATTTCTCTTATATTTCTCACTTGTTTCTCTTAAACCAAACAAACATACTATTTTTTTCCCTCTATTTCTTACCTATTTCTACTCATTTATTTCTCTCCTCTCTATTTCTCTTTACCCTAATTCTAACCTATTTTTCTCCTCTCAACCAAACACGGCGTAAAAGAGAAAATAATATATGTTTGACCTTGATAGTGTAAAAAAAATTACACTTATCACATTGCAAAGAAGTTAAACTCTATTAATTAAAATACTCCCAAAGGACATAATTTGGTAACATGGTCCTTCTAAAACACAGGGTAGTCCTTATATATGCAAAACAAGAAGCTCATATATGATCCCAACGTTAAATTCAAGAGCAATCAAAGGCCACATTTTCAATTCAAATTCCACTACCCTAGTGAAAGCATAGAAGGGAACTCATTCTACATCACTAATAAAATAAAATAAAATAAAAAGTAGGAGAAAGTTTCTTAAAAAGGAATACCCAATAGTGTTTTCACTTTGTTGCTCTGCAAATGCCCAATGAAACGCCACTCAACGTCTTCAGGAAGCTGCAGACATGCCCCACAACGAAATCATCAGAAATTTCTATCCATAAATGCCGAAAACAACGTAGCAATTTTATTTCAATAATGAAATTTCAATTAAAAAAAAAACAAAAACAAAGAGGTAACTACTGCGGTACCTGAGGAGCTTTTTCGACGATTTCTTGGACGTAGTTCTCGCCGAAGCATCGGTGACCGGCGTCGTAGAGTTGCCGAATGAGAGCGACGGGTTTCGTCTTGGAAACCGCCACGACCCGGACCCGTTCGGGTTTTGAACCGGATCTCTCCGCCGCCTGCTGCACCCGGTGCATCACCGATCTGAAGGCCGCCACGGCGGCGCCCTCCGCCACCAGCGGAGAAGTCATTGATTCGGGAATCAAGGGATCGTTTGGGTTACGGGACGAAGCGAAAACAAGTGGCGCGTTATGTGTGTCTCTCTGTGTGTGTGTGGCGTCGCTTAGTTGAGGTGGCTCAAGAATGAACACAAAGCTTATACCGAATATGCCAGAAAAAAATAAAATAAAAATATTAATGCTTCTTGTTGAATTTGATTGAGAATCTACTATCTAGTTCTACCCACAAAAACACACACGAGAATTTAAAGTGATTTTTTTTTTTTAACAAACAGATGAGATTTATTTTTAAAAAAATAATAATAACTGTTTATTTAAAAATAGTTTAGATTAACACATAATAAAAAAAATAGTATTTATTTTATTAAAATTAAAAATACTTGTTTAAGAGAGAAAAGTGTAATTTTTACAAACATAAAAGTTGGATAAACAACTTAAATTGTTAAATATGTTTAATTATCGGTAATTTTTTTTAAGAATATTTGAACGTAAAAATATGAGAATATATTGAAATCAATAGACGATTAATAATATCACACATAAATAAAGATGACAATATGTAGTTTGAGATCGGTTGACCAAGAAATATTTTAGTTAATTCATGAGAAATAATGTGTAAAATACACATTAATATAATGAAATATCAATAGTGATATATAAAAGTGATTGTATACTTTTATGTATATATTTTTTTTACTGTTTTACTTTTAAAAGTTATAATGATTTTTAATGTACATTTCTATTTTTTTTCTTTAAATTTTTCTTAATTATTAAATAACTACCTACTTTATTATTTCTGTCTTTTATTATTTTATTTTTTAAAATATAAAGAAGCACAAATGTCTCTTATATGTTAATATTAAATTAAAAAATTAAGAAAGTGAGAATCTAATTAAATTTGTCTTTGAACTTACAATTAATATTGTAACATGTGTCATGCAGAAAATAACTGTTTATTTTATATAACTTAACTTTATAATAAATAAATACTTCAAATATAACATATTATAATTAAATTTTAAAATAAATAAATATTTTAATATGAATAAAAATCATATATTTTGTCACTATCAATTCCTTTATTCTTATGTTTTCAAAGTAAAAATCTTATATATTTGTACACTTATACATTGAATTCTTGTGTCTCAAAAATATCAAACTTGCAAATATTACACCTCATGATTGTATGACCTTTGTTACATCTATAATGACAAGTGACGATTGATTTGATGCTTTATAAGTGAATGCAATGTATGTTTGTGAGCTCATATAGATGAAGATAATGTGAATCTATTCCTCTATTTCTTTCTACCTCTTGCAACAAAGTTCCTTTTAAGTTTGTTTTTAGCATGTGTATTAAGACCAATTTTATTTTTCACATGCCTTTATTTATTCAAAAACATATTAAAACCATTTTTTCCTTTGTTGAACTTGGCAAGAAAGTTTTTTTTTTTTTTTAATGAGTTTTCTATTTCAAAATCATCACCTTATTATATTGCTTTCTTTTAAGAAACATCAAAACCTATTTTTCTGACATACCATATTATTCCTTATGTTTAAATGAACATGCACATATGTATATATATTTTTTAATTGTAACATTTTATCATTTTCAAGCTTTAACGTATATAATTCCTTTTGTAAACATGTAAGCTTATTATTCTACTTCACTTTCCTCTATCATTTTCAAATTGTGCTTGCTAGACATTTACTACGATATTTTAGTGTTACCTAATGAAAATATACGTACTAACTAGCAATATAGAAGTACCTATAACAAAGTTTGTGTTAATAGTTAACTATTGTTAGTTACATTTTGTTATAGGTTATTATATGATGTAGCATAGTTTAGAAGCACTACTAGAAAAGTGTCATTTTTTTGCGAATTTTTCTGCAAAAAAATATTTGTAGAAATTTTTTTGCGAATTTATTTGCGAAAAATAATTTATAGATATTTCTTACAAATTTTGCTACAATTTTAATAATCATAGAAATTTTTTTCCATGGTAAAAATTTGCAGAAAATATTGTTAAAATTTTATTTTGTTTCTTGTAGATTTTCTTCCAAAAATAAATTCCCAAGTAATGTGTTTACTAAATAGTAGAAAAATTTTGCAGGTAACTTTTCTTGCGGATTTTCCTACAAATTTTAATTTGCAAGAAAAATAAAAATAAAATTAAATTTATAAGTTTAATATTTTAAAAAAACTTCAAGTCCCACATCGATTAAAAATAAAACAATTAAAGAGTATATAAGTTGGGGCAACACTTACCTTACAAGTTGATTTGTATGGTTGAGTGTTAGGCTTATAATCTACAATTTTAAAATTTAAAATATTATGTATCACATATGTTGGAGGCATGAAAATAAATGTTTCGGATGAATTCATTGTGAACATTTGAAAGTTGAAGAATTATTGATATAATTTATAGTAATTTCTTTAATCTTTTTCATAAAAAATATTCGTGCAGAAGTTCTTGCGAAAAAATTCACAAGAAACATTCCTGCGAATTTTCCTGTAATTTTTTTTTTTTGCAGGAAACTTTCCTGCAATATTTTTTTATAGGAAACTTTCTTGCGAATTCTTTTTGCAAGAAATTTCGTAGGAAAATTTCCTGCGAATTTAAATTGTACAATATTTTGTACATAGAATATAGAGATAGGAAAAAAAAAAGAGAAATTTAAAATATATATGGTAAATAATATGATAAAGGAAATAAATATAAAAAAAATGTTGTAGAAATTCTCTCAAGAATTGATGTACTTGTATTATCACTTTCAGAATAAAGGGGTTGAGGTGGGGTAACATATATAAATACTCTCTGACTCATGATAATTGTCATTAAGTGGTTTTGATACCATCTTAAGAATAAGTTATGACACTGTTAAAAGTAAATGTGTTTATAGTGACATGACACAGTTAAAATATATAATTGGTTGTCCGTGTAAGGTATTTAATTTTGTGAGTAAAACAAAAAGATGTTTCAACAATAAGTGTCACAAGTAAGAGCATAAAAAAGATGCGACATAGAAAGACCTAATTTAGACCAATTCTGATAAAATAAATTTGATATTAAACATACAAAGTTGAATTAATACTTTTATTACATTAATATAAACGAAGATAATGTTACAAAATGATTAAAAAATCATAAATATAAGAATTAAAAATATTTATCTTAAGCAATAGACATAAAAATGATTGAAAAAGATTGAAAAAGATTAATATAAAGATTAAAAAGATCTTTTAAATTATAAAGACCAAAAGATAAAATGAGTGAAACTATAAAGACTAAAAATTATTTTTTAAAAATCATACTTTAACCTTGTAATTACTCTTATAATAGATACTAAGAGTGTGGTTGGAAAAGTTGTAAAAATTAGATTATTAATAATCGATTATAGTGATAATCCATTATAATTATAATGAAATTTTATTTGAATAAGTTTGTTAAAATGTTTAATTTTGTTTGGAGTTGGAAAATCAAATTAGTTTGTGTAGTGAATTGGATTAAGAAGGAAAAGAAACTTATCAAAAAATAATCATAAGTTTTGAATTTTTAGTTTGATAAGAATACCGTCTTTTTTTTTAAAGAAAAAACTATTTACAAATTTAAACTTTTTTTTTTCAAAATAAAGCTTTTTTTAAGTAATTTTCTTATTGAAAAAACCAAAAATAGTAAACATGTTTTATAATTTATTCTAACTCATATAGATTTTATTTTCTAAACTTATCTCACTTTAAAAGTAATTATGCCTGTATTTTTAATAACTACTCACTACTATATAATTTTTTTTTTTAAATATTCACGAAAGTACGAAATATCTTTTGTACGTTAATAATCATAATAGTAATATTAGATAATACTAATAATAATAAATAATGAATAAGAAATATAATTTTATTTAGGCTTAAATATGTTTTTAGTTCCTCAAATTTAAGATAAATTTATTTTTAGTCCCTTATATTTAAATTTATTATTTTTAATCCCTGTAATTTTCAAAAATCTTGTTTTAGTCCCTTAGGTCACCAATAACATATTTAAAAGTGACTAATTAAGACAGTTATGCAATATCAATCAAATTTAATATGATATTTTCACTAATAAAAATACCAATAGGTAGATTTTATGCAATAATATTTGATAAATTTCTTAACAAAATTTGAATATAAAGACTAAAATAAGATTTTTATAGGTAGATTTTATGCAATAATATTTGATAAATTTCTTAACAAAATTTGAATATAAAGACTAAAATAAGATTTTTTGAAATTACAGGGACTAAAAATAACAATTTTAAATTTGAGAGACCAAAAACAAATTTACCCTAAATTTGAGGGACTAAAAACATATTTAAGCCTTTTAAAATAAAGGTCCTTTAAAATCCTAATCCAATACACCCCCCTAAAATTTCTATATACATATTAAGGAGAATAATATAATGTAACTTTTTATACAATTTTACTAAAAATAAAATATTCCATCCACTTAATAAATGTATAACTCTTAAGTGTGAAAATTGAATAATTTATAAATAGATAAATTTAAAATAAAATATTATATTAAAAAATATTTAGTACACATTTCGAATGTTAAAATTATAGTTGTGGAAAAGATTTTTGTACTTAATCATGAAAAATATAACAAGATAGTTTAGCTTTTACGTCTTTTATTCCCTTTTCCAAATTTCTCTATATATCCTTCATTCTCTCGAGACTTCTCATGTTGTCAATGTCCTCTCCGAGACACAAATGCATGTGGACACATTGATTTGCACGAAAATCCATTGGTCATTGGACTGAGCTTCTATTGGCTGCATTCATGTGAATACAAGCGGATTTGGAGGAAACCCCATGCCACTTCAGTTTGCTTCCGATGTATGTAATGTTGGATATCTTCGTTTTTCAGAAACAGTTTAAGTACTAGCCAATTAAAGGTAGCCTTTGCTGGTCAATATGCTATCTTTAATTTTAAGTTTTCAGATTCGTGGCACTTTAATTATTTATCCTACTTCTCACATTGAAAAATGATCCTCCTTTTTGAATTTTAGGATCGTCATAAATTTTACCAAATTTACACACAACTCTTGGATCATCTTCAATTCAACAAATGTTATAATAAATCATGGAGTACGTATGTAATCTAACAATACAATTTTAAAATTATATAGAAAAAAGGAGTAAGCATAATTCAATATTATAGGGTCATTATTATAAGTTTTATTTTAGTCTATATGTGCAGTAATCTGAGATCTTGTATATTGTAACATAAATAATTTTTTTATGTAGTTCAAAAATTTAAACATTTTTCAATTAACTTATTTAAACGCTAAACTATTTTCATAATTAATTTTAAATAACATTTTCTACGTATATACTTTTTATGTGTGGATATAATTCGAATGAACCCTTTATTAATACACACACGACCTATCTGAAATCAAGATATAAAATAATAAAATCAGACCGATAATTCTCGCTTCGTATTGACATATATGCATGTTGCTTCCCTACCAGTGACGACATTTAAGCAATATTTATTGCCATTGAACATGAAAAACTTTTTTCTTTTCAAAAGTGAAGATAAACCCTAAACTTGAAAAAGAAAATGAAGTTTTTGTTCAATTAATTTATGTTTCATTGTATAAGCTTTTTTTTATATAAGCCAAGAAATTTTATTAAAAGAAATTTAAAAAAAAAAACTCCAATTAATTACCCTTTTACAATCAAGTATCTTAGAGTAAATTTATTACACAATTAAGAACAAAAGCCATTATATTCTGTTACTGTTAAAACTGGGTTTAATTATCTAGCTCTATGCAATCATTGCAATGTGTACATTTACGTATACACACACACAAAGAAGAAAACTCGAAAAAGAATTGCATAACATGTCATAATAATGTGATGAGATAATGTATACTTATTTCTTAGAGTTGGGGAGGATATATATAGCATTACGCTTTAGGAAACACTTAGAAAACTGCAATAACTTTAAGCAGTATAAGGACTATATGCTATTGTATTAGAGAACCATGGCCACCACAAATGTGGTCTACTTTATTGAACATTAAATTTTAATAAAATCTCAAACCTCGTATAGTAACATATATAGGACCCTGCATTGGGGACTGAACCTTAAGCATAACCGCAAATTCCATAGACACAATATTCACCATCTTCACACCGATGGTTACACTCCCCACAATGCCTCTTGTCAAAGTAGATGTCAACGCATTCCCCTCTACAACATGTGTGCGTGAACTTGCATTTCTTCTTGCACGCACCACAGTTATGGTCATCATACCCCAAGTCAATGCACTTGTTGTTGCAGCATGTTGAGTTCTTGGCACCAACGTAGTTGCAAACCTCGTTGTCCTTGTGGCAATGATCGGCAGCGTTTGGATTCTTAACTTGAGCCAGTAAACGGTTCACCCTCTTAGAAGGAAGAAGCACGTTCTTTTGGTGATTGGTTGGCGGCAACAACGGTTCATGGTGCACAAAAGCTGCTGGTTTTGGTTCTTCTTTGGTGATGCTTTTCATTGTGAGTGCGATGGACAAAGCCATGGTTATTGCTACGATGAATATTGCTTTTAGGAGCCCCATGGCTTTGCCAGTGACAAGAGGTGGTAGCTGAAGGAGTGCTCAGAGAAAGGGTGATGAAGAGAAGAATTAAGAGGTTATTTTTTGTGTGTTTGTTTCTTGGGAAAATGAAGAGGGTGGCCTAGGGTTTATAAGAAGGGAACTAGGGGAGAAGTTGACGCCGCAAAAGTGGTAAAAGGTGAGAGGGTTGCATGGTGCATGCTAATGGAAGAGTGTGATGGAATTCTAATGTGTATTCTATTGTTTGACCTTGAAAAGCTTGAGCCACTCGTATAACTTGAGCACTACAATATCCATCATTTTAAACTTTATATTCCCTGTAAGGTCTATTATACCCTTCGTTTCATGAGTTATATGATGCAACGTGGCATGTTTAAGTACTTGTAGAGTGTGTGGATGACAATATATGCGTTACCGTCCATGAAAAATTACTTATATATGGTCCAAGATCACTATATTTTATGATCCCATGATCCTTATGTGACACTAATTAATTAAGTTTTATGAACTCTTTTCTGTAAATATATGGAAAATCTTCGCAGCATACATATTACATAGGAAACACTTTTAATCGTTTCACTTCAAGAAATATTAGATACAATAATATATATATAAAAGACTCATTATATGTTAAAGATTTTATATCAATTATTGGTATGTCTAAATTAGTGTATATAAATGAGAAATAATTTTTATTTTACCATCTAATTTTGTAAGGTTAAATTAGACTTCAAATCACTTTCTTAAAATTATAAATATAATAATATAGACATAAATATATTTGATATATCTATATATATATATATAGATATATATAATTTTATTGTTAATTTTAAATGAGATTTAATGACATATTTTGTGTGTCACTATAAGTTATATTTACATATTTTGATAATATATTAAATATATTGTATTTATAATGCAAATAAACATAATTTTTAATGAAAAGTAGTATATCACTATAAAGTGTGTATCATTACATGACATTTTTTTATAGTGTTCTCATGTATAATTTATCTTAGACCATGTAATAACTTATATGGACTAAATTGTACTTTTAGTCATTTATCTTATTTTTTAGATTCATTTTAGTCCTTTATCTATTAACATGTTTGTTTTGGTCCTTTATCTTTTATATTTAGATCAATTTGATCCTTTTAAAATGATAATTATTTTTAATTTTGCAACACAATATTAAATCAATTTTCAACTAACTCAAAACATGAAACTCGTAATATTAGATTCAACTATATAAAAATTATGAAATTCAATTAACGTTCAAATCCAAAATGTCTATATACAAAGTGAAAATCGTGTGAAAAATTTCTCATAAACAATTAAAAAATTGTATAAAATTATATTTTTTGAATTTTTCAATTGTCTTTTGAACTTATTTTTTTATACAATTTTTACCACATTTATAACACATTTTTATTTGAATTTCAATTACATTAAATAATTTTCATAATCTAATAAGACAAGTTTCAAGTATTGAATCAGTCAAAAAATGAATCAAAATCATGTCTCAAAATTAAAAATGATCATTGTTTTAAAAGGACTAAATTGATCCAATTAATAAATAAATGACTAAAATGAACATTTTTAAAGATAAGGAACCAAAATGAATCTAACAAATAAGATTAAGAACTAAAAATATAATTTATTCATTTGCTTACTTACCTATTTAAGTGAGTTGGTTTACAAAATTTATTAATCAAAAGAGATTTTTTTTCATATAACTATATTATTAACATAAGGTATTTGCTGGTTTTTTTTATAACTAATTTCATTCAGAAAATTTGGTTGATTATCTTTATAATGATGTCTTTCAACCACATGTTTTTTTTTACTTGAACATCTTGTTTAATTACATCTAATTCATCCATCGACTTGTTAATTCAACGAGTTTGGTTTATAAAGTTTGTGAATCAAAACGTTTATTCTCAGGAAAAATAAAAATAATTTGTTATTAATTATTTTAAAGTGAAGAAAAAGGTTTTTATTTTATACTTGGTTCTAAACTTTTCTTTTGATGGTTATAAGTTACAAACTTTATAAATCAACCCACAAATTAAATTTTTATAAGCAAAATCAATAAAGAAAAGTAAACATATCCATTAAACCGCAGACATATATAAAATATATATAGGTCACTTGAAATGAAAAATATGTGAATAAGTTTATATAGCTAGTACTTATTATTTGTGCAGGTTGAAATTAAGTCCTAATTAACACAAGTTGAACTAGAAGGAAATTTTTGCTCCTCACATGTGTAGAAAAAAAATGTAGAACCAATCATGCAATTATGACTTAAAGTACATTGGTGAGGGTTTGTCCATGCACCTAAACCCTAAACCCCTAATTACGTACTTGTGAAAGTCAAATTAAGGGTAATGGTGACTTTTCAGCACCATTTGATGAAACCGCAGTGGACGGCTTGAGGAAATTAAGGCACAGTGCTAGGATAAGCAAAGGGCTTTTGTCATACACGTTAAGAACTTATATTTAACAAATTTCAGAAACTCACAAAATACAACTGCTACGTACGATTCGTGTTTAACATGCAAAACAAATTAAACAAAAACTTGCATATATATGGGTTGGGTCCAATTGGTTTCCGTGGGACTGAATCTGACCATTTTTATGTGTCGGCCAATTGAGGAATAATGCGTTGTGCAAGTTAACTAAGTTTGAAGAATTCATGTTATATTAGTACACGTGCACTGTGTGAACCATACACAAATTAACATGAGCAATTAAGAATGAAAGAGGGCTTGCTTCTAAGGGCTCCAATGCCACCTTTTAATAGGTTGTTGATACAATGATACTTGATACATAGATTTTGAATATTGCTCCATTTTTTTTTAGCTTTGACTGCTTTAGTTATTGCAATAATTTGTTTTATCAGTAAAGAAAAACGTAAAATGTAAACTAGACTAGAAGCATGAATGTGAGGACACGATAGTCCTATATTTCCCAGCAAATTTATAAGAAATATTCTAATGTTAAACCCGAATTATTAGTTTATTACAGGGATATCAAACAGGTGAATCCAATGTAATGCTTCTCAACTAGCTGAAAAATGAGTTAGGTTGAGTGTAGTTAAGGACGGCAAGGGAGTGAGGTGGGTACAGGTTTTTTTTTGTATTTGTCTCTATTTCCATCCATAGTCTTGTACCTTATATATATTTTTGTTTCTATATTTGGGTATGAAATTTGTATTCTTGCCTGTCAAATATTAAGTATATTTGTATTGTTTCATATTCGTCCACAAATTAATTAAATTATTTTTTGTCAAAATTGGAATGAGTTTGAGTATTATTCATTGATACAAGTTTACTTGATATCCCTAAGTTAACCCTATTTTTCATTTAGTTGTGTTCTAGAGGCAACTTTGACACATAAGTTGTACAATTCGTCATTGACCACCTGAGGCCAAGGGTGTTTCAAATTCATACTACTCAACAAGTGACTAGCCTTTGTCTTGGGCAACCAAAGCAAAAATACCGACTTGACCACATGAATATTGAATATATCACAGGAATACCAACTTAGTCATGAGAAACGTACAACCCTCATGGATTAATTGTGGAATGTCCTATAAGTAACTACCCCATAATATAACAGGAACGTCTCAGTTTTTATAATTAAGGGCTACAAAACTAGTAAGAAAAAAATCTTAGAACTCAAAATAGAGAAAAAGAGAAGATTTGCGAGAGAGAGAGAGAAGAGAAAGTTGTGTTTCATGCATGTGTCTCCCCCCTTCAACAGAGCCTCATATTTATAAGAGGTTGAGGGCATCAGACGAAATAACAACACAATTAAAGAAAATAAAGAGCAACAATGCATCAACAGCTAGAAAATTAACTCTTCTCCAATCTCTTAAATTTTGAAAATGTTTGAAAATAATATTAAAAATCCACAAAAAGCCCATGTATCTCACATGCATGCAAGACAGGTAGCAAATCGGTTGATTTGCACTATGATAGACCCAATTGGCTAATGTACACGTGTGAGTCTCCCTGCTCTTGCTAACTCCTTATATCCCTATATCACAAATTGATATATAATTAAGTCATTCTCCAAGGGAATATTAGCCAATATGAGACTTCTACCTTTTATTATACCTTATATACAACATGATTATCTTCTTCAACTGATAATTGCATAAATGTTACCTAGTATATTCATGTTCCTTCTTCTTCTTCTTTTGCCTACTATTACACTATTAGATCATAAGTTAACTCAATAATTAGAGTGTCTGTCGGTGGATGCCACCTTTATCCTCTAGCCTTGGGGTGCTACTTTGCCTACTCAACGATATATCACCATTTGAAAAATGGCACCATTTGTGGGAACCTTTTCCCCTCATTTCCAATAAGAATGGTGATCATTCTTAGACATAATGTTACTTCCTCAAGTCAAGGACAACCACTACTCCTACTTCTTGAAAACGGGGTGAAAGATAGCATCGACCACTCTAGGACTTAGCTCCACCACCTATGCACCCCTGTTGTTTGGTTCCAAATCCAAGTGTAAATAGTTTTACTTTGGTGATGAAAATATAAGGTACTTTCATAACTTTTGGATGAACAGAGCCTTTTGGCATGCCTATTAAGGATGTAGGGATTCATACTATGGACAAAATTAAGAATGGGAGGTTTCAAGGTGCTGAGAAGTGATGGCTTTCAAGCCATTCTCTTTCAAACTCATTGGAGTATTACAGTTGGTGCTCTTATCCATGATATTAATGAGGAACCAATGAGAGTTGAAGTTATGAATGAGATCCTTATCACCCTTATCCCTAAGGTAGAAAAGGTTAATTTAAAACACGAGACCTATTAGCTTGTACAATGTCTCCTATAACATTCTCACTGAAGTTCTCTTGTATAGTTTATGGTTAGTGATAAAGACCTTGATAAGTCTGAACTAGTGTAGTTTTGTTCCTAATAGGCAAACTACATATATTGTCATAATTAACCAAGAGGTTATCAACTCCATGAGAACTACGAGGAGCAGGTAATGATGGCTGGTTATAAAGATTTATTTGGATAAAGCTATGATAGGCTAAATAGGAACTTTATAAAGGATCGATATTCTAGTTGACATTGGTTTTCTAGAAAAAAAAAATTGTTGATATGGTATGGGATTGTATCTCTACTCCTTCTATGCACAGAATGGAGAAGCTTTGGAGGAACTTAAGTCATATAGAGGTATTAGATAAGGAGACCCTATCTCACCTTACCTTTTTGTTTTGTGTATAAAAATGTTATTTCACCTTATTGAAGTTGTTATTCAACACAAATTATGGAAGCAAAGGTGAAAAGCTGGTCACAAAAGATCAAATTCTTACATATAAACAATAATTATATTATAGTTAGACAAAACGCATGTCATAATATTTTGTAAAATTTTAGTTTTTTTAAAGTTTAAAATGTCATTTAGTAGTTAATTTTTTTCAAAAGATTTTTAATTAAATATCTAAATTAATAAATTTGTAATTAAATTTTCCATTTTTTATATTTTTTGTAATTTAATCTCTAAAATTAGAAATTTGATTATAATTTATGGAATTTTACAAAATATTTTAATATATAAATAATAATACAAAATAATAATCTAATTACAAATATCAATAATTAAATTACAACAATATAAAAAAAACATAAAAAGAAAAAAGATCTCATTATAATATGTTTTTAGTTGAAGTCTTAATTGAAATTTTTAAAAAAGTTTATGAACAAATTATGTATTATTATATTTTTAATTTAACGTGAAAAACTCGAACATATTTATCATATTTTATATTTCACTTCATTATGTTTGTTTTTAGATATCGATTTTAATTTCAGTTACATACAAACCTACATGGCGCAAGGCCCTCCGTCGGCTCTGCTCTGTTCGTAGCACAAGCGACTCCTGCCATTCGCGTCGGCGCCCTGTTCGCGTCACCATCGCTCAAGTCCGCCGCCGCAGGCCCCTCCCCTGTTGTTCGTCGCACTCCGCAATCCCTCAGAACGCTTCTTAGCATTAACAGGTCACTATTACTATCATTAAGTTCACGTTTGTGAAATAATTTGTTTTCTTGAGAAAAATATTGGTTGCTCTGTAACATTTGCAAATATTAATTTGCTTGAGTTGCTCTGTTGGTCGTTTTCCACTAATAAAATCTGAATTTTAACAAATGTTGATTTAATTTCCAATGATTTGCTCCCTTGCTGTGCCTTTGTAAAATTTCTATTGGGCTTTTTTTTAGGGTTTAGGGCATGAATGAATTTTATAGGTATGAAATATGAATGACTATGACATGAATATTTTCAAATTTTTAACAGAGACTAGTGATCCACTGATTCAACCGTTGATCTAGTGATCAGGGCTCTGATTGAGTTGATGACTGGTCTAAGTTTTAAAACAGTGGATGGCTGTAAATTGTATTGTTGTGCGAATGGTGGTCAGTTTTCATGTTAGAGTTGATATTGAGTAAAGATGTGAACCTGAATGTTTTGTTAAGAGAAAGTATAGCGAAGCGTAATGTTGGTGAATTAGAATTTTTCGCGTTGAAGTTGAGACCCTCTACGGTGTGTTTGAATAGAGGATTTGAAAAGGGGAATGTAATTTAAGAAGGGATTTAATTTATTTTTTTTTTGTGATAAAATTTTGTTCAACCTCACAATCTCGGCTGTATGATCAAGAACATGTAGTTTTGTAAGCAATACCTGCAGAACCCTTCTTTCCTTTCTCTTCAACTTCCTCTCACTGTTCTTGGTCAGAGATCACATGCACCGCTGGCCATAGGATTCTAGACTGTTCTTGTGCTTCTCTACACATTTTTGCCCTGTCTTGCTACATTCAAACAAAATATGGCTTGAACTTCACTACTTATAGGATTCTAAACTGGTGTATCTGACACTACACAACTCATACAAGTTTTTCCTGTCTTTAACTTTGGTTTCTAAAACTCGAAGCCTGAAAATCCAAAATGGTTTTTCAACTTTCTCATTAATGGTCAAAGGGTGTGCTAGCACTTGTGAGTTGTGAGTGTTGGTATTTTTGGATAGTCTCATTGTTTGTGACTTTGTGTCTTTGTGTCGGTTCAATAACAAATGGGTCCTTGTCAAAGCATAGACTTTTCAAATTGATTTGTGGGGGGGGGACTATGGAGAATCCCAGTTACTCTTTGCTTGAAATAGATGCCCCAGGCTCTGCATTTCAGTGACTTAACAAGGACAGAAGTAAAAATTCAAAGTTGTTCACATGGCTTCTGCTTCTCAAGGTGCATAGAGTTGTCTGTTGTCTTGCTTGGCTTGGGAGTTCTCTTTGTTCATTGCTCCATGCCGTTAAGAAAATATTTTTTTGGGGCACGTGGAAACTGAGATGTCTGCCAATGCAAAATTATATTTTCGTGTAATTCTTGCATTCTTGGTGATGACTTTGTCATTTTTTTCTTTTAAGTTGGTTACTTGCTTCAAAGGGTGGCATTACTTTCACCTACATTGTTGTCATGTTTCTTCCCTTTTTTCCACAATTTCACTGAAACACTTTCTCAGTGACAGATTAAACATGTTCTGTTTTAGAAATGAAAAAAAAAAAATTAATTGCTTTATCCAAACACTAGATTTTGCAAATGAAGAAATTTAATTTCTTTATCCAAACTAGAAAATTAAAAAGTAGGAATTTCAATTGAAGCAATTGAAATTCTAAAAATTTAAAATTCTTTTGAATTCTAAAATTTTCTCCAAACACAATGCCAGTGAAATACCAAATGACTATCAATTCTATTAGGACTGAATAATAATATCATTGTCTATTGGACCTAAGGTCCCGGAGTAGTTACACTCTGTGATGGGATGCAAATCTTGTAGCAGAGGCCAAGGAGACCATAAGGGTGCTTAGTGCATGTCATCCCACAAGTGGCAAGAGGATCGTTACTCTGTGTCATGGTTAAGGCAGCCTGCGGACTGGCGTTCCCAATGAATCACTACAATTTATCTATAATCAGTATAGTGTACTGTTACGTATCTGAGATCATCTGAAAATGGTTGGTGAATTTTGTGCCATGTACTTAATATCACCTGAAAATGATTGGTAAATTTTATGCTCGTACGTTAGATTTCCTGAGAATTGTCAGTAGATCTCATGCACCCCATTCAATATTTTACTAATTTGATGAGTAAATTAGAGTCATTATGGATGGTTAGGTTCTCCTTCTCTCTAACAAGTTTAAGCTCATCAGCTGTACTTTTAGGGATTTAAACTAAAGAGGTTGAGATAGAACAGTCCCATGCTTGCTACTGATTTACATCCCCAATGTTAATATGAATTTTAATTGTAGGCAAATGCTAACCAATATCTGAAAACCATTAGTTGACCATTTAAGTAATTAAAAATAGAATTTTTTCTATTAAAATGTTGTTATTGTATTAAATGTTGTATTTTTAAATAAAATTTACTATTTTCTTATTTGTTAATCAGTAACAGAATCTTTAATTATATTAATCATTCACCGATTTTGCTTTGCAGTGAAGGAAGCTGAATTAGATACCTCAAAACCCTCTAATTTTCCAATGGCTTTCCCTCCATTCCGTCGATCTCACTTGCGCAGCCACACTTACCAGACCCTTGTTCACATCTTCTCTCACCTTTCTGCGTACAACACGTCACTTCAAACAAAAACTCAACCCCTCAGCATTCCTGGTATGTGTTTCAAAACCCTATCTTATTATTTTTTTTGTTTTTTTTTTAATTTTTTTTCATTATTATGTTCAGCTTTGGATTGGAAATTGATGTTTTAGATTTTGAGCTTCAATTATGCATATGGTTATGGATTAATTTTTTGTTTATTTCAATTTAGTGGCCATTTCTCAATCATATGAATGTTGTTTCACTGAAGTTTATTTTGGTAAATGAATATTAAAAGGGTAATTTTTTGTAAATTTTTTTTTTCTGAGTTTTAAGTTCCCATTTGGATTAGAAATGAATGTTTGAAGGATTCGAAGATTAGGTGACGGTTATGGATCATTCTGTTGGTAGTTTCGATTTAATTGTGCTCTTCTGATATTTATTCTTTTGAATGGTTTTATAATTCAGTGTATTTGAATATTTGGTAAATTGAAATCAAAAGGGTGCCTTTTTTCTTTTTCAAGTTTCCAGTCGGGTTTGGAATTGATGTTTAAGTGTAGTTTATTTTGTTATGGATCAATTTGCTATTAATTTCAATTTAATGTGTGTTTCTCATATTTATTTACCACTCTTTAAAAAAAACTATTTTTTCCCCTAGTTCAAGATAATGGAAGTGGTAGAATTGAGCAAGAGAACCAGGAAAAGGAGCCTAAGTCCTCTGATATTGTTGATTTTGATTTTGTGGATCCTGGGGACCCTGTAGGCCAAAAGGAAATACAGGAGGTCGAGAAGACCATTGAGGGGGTTGGAGACAGGGATATGGATATTACTTCCTATAAGATGATCTTAGATGATATAGAACATTCGATGGGAATTGAGGAAATGTCTACCCAAACAAATGGTTTTGATAAGGAGCAGAAGATAATGGAAGAGTTGGAGCTGGTTGTGAAAGGTACTGAAGAACTTGTTTGTGATAGTGGTTTAATCCCCTCGAACTCGGGATTGAATGGGAAAAATAATGATGGCAGTGAAGTTGGGTTGATGGAACACCAAGTAGATGATGTTGAATTTTTGCATTCTTGTGTGAACTCATCTAGAAATGCCAGTCTGTTGAAAGAACCAGAAGATCTTAATCAACTTGTCTCTAAAGGATTTGATATGACTTCAATGTTTAATATGTCCACATCAACCAAGGGACAAGTTGCTGCACCGGTAATAAGTGCATCAAGTTCAAAGCATGAAAGTCAACAAAATGAAACAGAATTGGTGAAATCTGTTTGTGCCGTAGTAGGATCTGGTGAAAAGCTAATTTGTGAGAACAGTGCAACAAATTCTTCTAATATTCTAACAAAAAAAGGAGACATGGAAGATGGAGAAATTTTTGGAGACTTGGGCATAGATGGTAATTCATTTGATGCGTCTTCTGCAGATGCCCTAATTTTACAACAGATGGAAGTTGATGAGGTTCAGAAGCCTGAAAATGTATCTGGAAACATGATATATCCTTCTAAGATTGAGAATCAAGAAAAGGAAAAGGGCTATGACTCTAATTCCTCTATGGTAAATGCACTTCAAGATGCCAATAATAGTGGACAAGTGGAACCTAGAACTAGTGGTGAAAAAGGAATTTCATGTGGAGTTGAAGCAGCAACCTCTCATGAAACTATTGAATGTGAGAAGGCAGGTGTGTGTGGTTCTATTCTAAAGCCCAGAAATAGCAAATCTGGACACATTGCATGTAAAGGGATTGATGGCATGCTGACAAATTTAAGTCGAAATCAAGTCTTTTATGGAGATTTATTGGAAGAAACTGCTGCCAAAAGTCATGGAAACACATCTGCTATTAAGGTATGATTTTCACCAGAATATTTCATGCAATGAAACATTTACATAGTGTTTGATTGGAGGGGAATTGAGGGAAGGGGAGGGGTTTTAATAAACTTTTCTTGTTTGGTTCAATTCTTAGGAGGGGAGGGGAATGGGTGGGAGCAAAACCCCTCCTTATCTAATTTTAGCTCCCCTTCAATATTGGAGGGATTTGGAGGACAGCGGTTTTAAAATATTTTCGATACAATGTCTAAAATATCCTTACTTGTGCTTTTAAATTCAAAATCATAAGGGTACAAAGATAAATTGATTTTTAAAATCCCTCTCTCTCCCTTGTGAACCAAACAAGAAAAAAGTTTCTTCCCCTCCCCTCCTCTCTTTTGAACTAAACAGACCCATATATCTGTTGAAATTATGGGGTTTTATGTATTGAACAGGAGAAGAATAGAAACTTTGTATAATATTATAATGACTTGTATTATAATATATTGATGTGTCTTACATGTTCAGAAAACGTGAACCAGCAACTCTTATCTATACCATCATAACTAATTAGGGATAAAGATCATAAGATAAAGGTTTAGGGTTTATGGTAAGAATATAGTCAACCATAAATTTAGGCTTCCTACATGGAGTTCCATAATTTGTTTCAACCATGGTTGTCAATCTCTAGTGACAACTCGTAAACTCGTACTAGTTTACGAGTTTACAAGAGCTTACCTGTACAACTCGGAGGTAAACTCGTTTTTTAGTGAACTCGGAGCGATCTCGGTGAACTCGGGTAAACTCGTGTAAACTCGCGAGACTACCTCCGATATTAAGAGATCACCGTTTTTTTTTTCCACACACAAAACGCACGTTTTGTGTTGTGTGTTAGGGCACTTTCACTCCAGACCAGACCTCTCCTACTCTCCTCTCCACTCCAGACCTCCGCAGCGCCTCTTCCACGGCTCTCCTCCTTCGCGCCTCACCTCCTTCGCGCGACACCTCCGCGCGTCTCCTTTCCTCTCCGCGCGACACCTCCGCGAGTCTCCTCTCCTCTCCGACGAATCTCCGCCGATCTATCCTCTCTGACAGTGGCTCTGTCTTCCCCGGCATCTGCAGATCTGTCTTCTTCTAAGAGGGAAGGCAGCGGCGACGGCTTGAGGAAGGGTTGCATTGCAGGAAAAATAATTAGGGTTGGAATATGGGCCAAATGGGCCAAGTTTTATTTTTTGTTTTGATTTGGTTAAGAGGGTTTTTACTTCATTATTTTTTTTAGAAAGTAACCTCTCTTTATTAATTATTAATTATTATTATTATAATTTAGATAATATTTTAAGTAATACAAAATTTAATATAAGACCTTAAATATTTTGTTTTCTTAATTTTTTTATTTTATTTAACTACTATAAATTTTTATTATTAAAAATATTTAATGTATAAATAGTTATATTTTTATTTTTATATGTATATTGTTAATTATTTGTATTATAAATTATCTAATATTTATATATATATATATAAATAAATTAGAATAGTGTAATCCTGCTATATTTAATAAATTATTTTATTATTAATATAATTTGTTATTTTACTCTTTAATATAAAGTTAAAATGTTTAATTATTATATAATTTTTAATTATTTTTATAATTTTGTTTATTGAGTAATCTCTTACGAGTTTACGATACGAGTTTACGATACGAGTTTACGGAGCCTTCACGAGATTACGTAAACTCTCGAGATTGACAACCTTGGTTCCAACTATTTGATGATTTTAAGACTATTTATGTTGATTTTTCTTGAGTTAATTATTGATCATTTGTTGCAGTTGGTTAATGCCAGTAGAAAGAGAAAGCATGGTCTTGGAGCTGAGGAGAAGGAAGATAAAAATAAGGTATTCTTCTTATATTGTTATTTTTTTTTTCTTGATGTTGTATTACTGTTCTTAACTTGTGTTTGTTTTAAGCTTCATTATATTTTTTGTTACTTTTAAATTTTTCTTAGTGTGTTCCACCAATGATGAATTGAAGATTTTGGCACCATGATGATCCTTATTTTTGTTAAAGTTAGTTTAGTAAGTTCAGAAGTATTTTATTCGGCTAGGATTGTTCCCTTCCCATTCCACTAAACAGTTAAAAAAGTGGAATCACGTTTTTTGTTGAATGTCTATATCCTGAATTCTTTATATGGTTTTCAATTCCCATTTATTTTTCTTATGAGGTTTTGGGAAAAAATTAACTGAAACCAGAATTATATCGAGAATTATACATTCAACCATAGCTTTGCATAACTTATGTAGAGTTCCAAAATGTGGACAGAATGTTTAATGATTTCAAGACTATTAATGTTGATTTTGCTTTGGCTAATTATTGATCATCTGCTGCAGTTGGTTAATGCCAGTAAAAAGAAAAAGTGTGGTCAGAGTGCTGAAAAGAAGCAAAAAAAAAAGGTATTCTTCTGATATTTTTTTTGATTTTCTTTCTTGATGTTTTATAATTGTTAACATTTGATATGGATGTTGAAGCTTGTTAAGTCAACATCTTTTGAAATCATTTCAACATCAATTAATTAATATTCTGTTATTTGTGAAACATAATCTATAAATCTGTAAGGTTTAAGAATGTGATTGTTTTTTTATTTGATATAGATAACATATAGAAAGAGGCGAGCAGAAAAGAACAGAGAACTGGGTGTTAAAACTTTGCAGTTGCAGCATGTACAGAAACCGAAAACTGTCTCACACTGTCGCCATTATCTCATGGGAAGGTGCCACGAGGTAGATTTTACCCAATTATATTTATATTACACTATGAAATGTTTTCTCACTTTATAGATATATGGAACACGTAATCTTCATTCTTGCTGTTTTTAATCGTTGTGATTATTTTACATTTGAGTCATTGCATGATACGTAAGATACTATGTTATTCTGGTGTTGATACTTCATTTAATTGTGATTTAAGAAGGTAATTGACATATTCACTTATTCTAACTTAGAAGCTCTATGAAGTTCATTTATACTGTATAAGGGGTAATGTGTATGTTATGTGAGAGGATTTCCATATTTTAAAGTCAGACAAATCTTTTGCAGGTTCTTCATTTTCAATATCTATATTATGTGACATTTGAATTAGCCTAAGCTCTTGCAAATTTATGTTAAGGTAGCCCATTCAGGCCATTATTGTAAGAGTAGTGTATTTTTGCAACTTGTGCAATATAGTGATATATATGATATCCGTATTGAAAAAATATGAAATCATTCTCACTTCCCCTTCTCTTGCCTTATTCCATAACAAATTTGGCAGGGTGACAAGTGTCTGTTTTCACATGATGTAGTGCCTCTAACAAAATCCATGGTATTTTTCTTTTAAAAATTTAATCTCTTTTTTTTTTTTTTTCTGGTAAGGTTGTAACAAGACCCAGGAGAAATTTACAAAACCTTTTATTGATTCTGAAATTGCAGGCATGTGTTCACTTCGCTCGTCACTCTTGCATGAAAGGGGATGACTGCCCATTTGATCATCAGCTCTCAAAATATCCTTGTAACAATTTTGTGTCCACCGGTTCTTGTTCCAGAGGAGATGCTTGCTTGTTTTCACACAAGGTACCATATCCTATGTGACTTGATTTCGCTTCTTGTTAATGACTGTGTCGGAAAACTTTATATAAACTTGATATCAATCTTAATTTTTATATGCATGTGTCTAAACTATATAATTATTCTTACTTAGATTAAAATGGGAACTTTCTGATTCAGGTAACAACCAATGAGGATATCCATAAGCCTTCAAATGTTTGCAAACCAGGGTTGAAGTCTCCACATCTGTCAGGACATGCAAATTTCAGTACCCCACCTAACAATCATGCCTCTAGTTCTGTCCGGCAAAACCACTTTACTAATTCGGCAGGAATTCATTCTCACCTCAATGATGAATGTAAGGTGACAGACATTCTACATAAACAACCCACACCACCTAAAGGAATTAGTTTCATCAATCTTGCGAAATTATCACCCAGCCTAAGTACACTGAAACAAGGCGCAGTAACAACCAAGGAAATTCCTGTACACACTCGGGAAGATCAAACTGCATCTGACAAAACTCAAAACAAAGTGGAAATTCCTAAAAAATTGCCAGCTGTTACACCTAAGGGAGTTAACTTTCTTTCTTTTGGCAAAGGTTCTGTCTGCAGTTTTAAAAGTCCTATTTGCTCCAATGCGAATAGGGAAAATGGTATCAAGTTGCCTCAGTTACTCACTTTTGGTTTGCCTGCAAAGGCAAGTTCGTCTCTAAATAAGGATGATCACGACAAAGCTTGTGACAGAACAAAACAAAATGTACCACAGACTGATATATTCTTAAATGAGATTTTAGAAAAAAAACAGTCTGTGGCAGACGGAATGAAATCAAAGTTATCAGAGAAAACCTTGGTAAATGTTTCTATGAGGGATCACAGCCATAGTAAATCAGTTCAAGAGGGAAAAGGGTCATCTAATAATTCTCAGAGTTCAAATGTGACCTCAGCTACACTTCGTCCATTTGTTTCAAATCAGTCTTCTGAAGGCCTATTATCTGGTTATCATAAGCATGTGTCAAACTCAGCCCAAAGGGCACTCTTATCAACTTTAGCATTTGCATCAGAGCATGAATCTGATATTAAGATGAAATACCCTACTGGTGGTTCGTCAGTATGATCAGAGGACTTTGAAAGAAAGTTGTGTTGAAGTTTCCAACTATGTAGCTCTTGGTGATTGGAATCAAGGCACTTCATTGTAGATATTTGAATGTGCATTTTTAGCATGTTATTCTTTTTCCTTATTTATTTATTTATTATTATTATTATTATTATTATATATATATATAGAGGGTTACCCTAGTGAAACGATGAGGCTGCTGATGTATGGCCTAGTCTTTTTTCAAATCTCAGCTTGTGAAGGTAAAGCTGCAGAGTTACCCAGTTTTCTTCTTTTTACAACACATACAAGTTAAAACAGTTATACAGGTTTCAGTATCAACCATTTTCATGATTTTTGAACATGTACATACAGTCTTTGAAGTATCGATGGCAAATGTATTTCTCTGCCTCTACTTTTTTGTTTTTCTCTGCTAATGCACACTGCTAGCTCATCTTAAGTAATATTAACATGTCCCAAATTTGATTAGGACCTCACCACGTACCTTGTACTCTTTTTTTTAATAATATTGACACTGTTCTTTTATATATCATGTCTTTCTCAACATATGTTCTGAACCGCGTTGCTTGATGTTTGGGAACACGTCCTTTTCTTCACATATTTATGTAAATATTTGATATTGGGTATTATATGTCAAATGTCAAGGGTACTTGCTGAGAATTTCCAAACCATTGGAAGTCTACAATTTCAGCCAAAATATTTCAATGGGGATAATCTAACTATAACGTGTAGCAGTTGGTAATTTGAGCCAAAACCAGTAATCAACACAAACAGTATACACGTTATGAACTTGTATAGACAAAACTGCAAACACTTGAAGGTTGACACAACTATGCATATGATCAAAATGCACCTCCAATATCAAAATGAAATGAAATGGAAAAAATACTTGTATCTGCCTAAAGGTTTCTTTGAGTAGACTAATTTAAAACTAATTTTAGGAGAGAGAAATAGAAAGAAGAAATGAAGTATTTTATGAGATAAATTAACTTATGTATAAATTAATTTGTAAAAATTCTATTATAATTTTTATTTATGTATAAGTTAGTTTTACTTCTTTTATTTATTTATTTTTTTGATAAATTGAAGGAGTAAAGCACCTCAACAAAAAACAATGAAAAATTACAAATTTACAAAGTCTAGGTTACATCAACATTAACAAGAAAAAAAAAAGAATAAGGGAAGAGCTATATAAAAAATTCACAAATTCTCACTAAGAAATAATCTATTATTGTCAAGTTTATCTACAAGTTGATTCCCTTCTCACATGACATAAGACCAAACGCAAATACCCATTAATCCTATTAAAAGAAATAACACTGCACACCAAACTAAAGCAAGGATGATATGGAGTGCAACCCTTCAAGCAATTATACTCCACCGGAAAATTCCTGTGACCTTTGTTCCAAGCAATAAAGATCCCAACGTGAATGCCCTCTACTTTAACTTTAACTTCAAGGACAAAACTTATTCAAATTTTACTTTTTATATTTTTTTTCCTATAAATGTTTTTGAAAAATTTATTCAAACACATTCTAAACATATTATTGAGCTTATTCTGATCATGATTAAGGCTCTTTCCGTTATTACACTTCAAACAATGTATGTCTGTACTTCAACTCGATGCAGAAAGACTGAAGTTAGGATTATAATTCTATTATGATTTTTTATTAGTATTCTTTTATAATTTAATCTCACTCTGTAGCAATTGAACCCAAAACCAATGGTACTTTCCGAAGAATAATCCTATCCATATATTTCAGGAACAAAATTCATTTTTAAAAAGAAAAGTTTTTTTTTGTTTTTTTTTTTAGTAACGTAAGATAAAAAAGAAAACAAAAGAGAAAATTACAAGCATGCGTAAGGCAACCAACTCACATCAGTTAACAGCAAGTGAATAATTAATTTCAAAGTAGATAATTAATCTAGGTAAGGTTAGCTACATGAATTGTATATTGCAATTAGATTCAATTAAAGAGCAAATTTTTAAGGATAAGATAATAAAAAAAATATTTGTGAAAAATATCTTTTTTATTATATGTAATGTTTTGACGTTATTTTATTATTACAAGCTATCAAATTATTTTAGTTAACTATAGTTGTTATTTTTCACTAATTGATTATTTTAAATACACATTCACCTATTACATATAACTCTATATTTTGTAATTTTACTATAAAAATGTAATTAGATTATTTAAAATGAAATGGATTGTCCTAAATTCATTTTTCACTAACATGTTAAAATATAAAAATTATTTTCACAATTCATTATAATAGAATTTAATTATAAATATAACCAATTATTAAAATAATCTTTTTTTAATATCTAATCCAAATATATACATCTTGTAGATTCTTTTATTTTCCTGACTTTGTTAATATAGCCCCTACCTTTTAATAAAAAAAGACATGCTTCAATATAAATTTATCTAGACATATTTTTCAATTATGTTTAATTACTCAAACTAATTTTAAAACAAAGATGCCATTGTTTGTTGCACCTTGGTTAAAAGCAGTAAATGACATTACTCCTTTCCTCATGTAACCTGGTATAGAGGCCCAAATATATGATCATGACACATAACAACTTCAGTGTATTATTGATTCAAATTATTAAGGCATCCACTTTCTCTTGTTTGGGAAACCACTTGAGTAGATGCATCTTCTACAATGGCAGTAATGCCACTTCATTGACTCTTTTTTCTGGTCCCCCTTCCCTCCTTCACTCTTCTAACCAAGAAAAAAAAAACTAATAAATCACAATTAACAGCATGAAAGCATAGGATGAAACAATTCTTTCAAATTCATTGTGGTATTTATTGTCCTTATACCACCGTGAGGAAGAAGTTACCATATAATGTGGATGAATTAGATCGGTGAGCAACGATTACCACATTTTTTTTTATCATAATCTCTTTAATCGGTTGAAATTCGTTGAAAAATACAAAAGTTGATGGATGTCATGTCTTATTTAATGACCCTTTTTACAGATTTTACAATTTTCAATAAATTCTAACTAATAAAAAAAATTGAGAAAAGTATGTTAAAAAATGTGTTGCTAGCACTTTTCTTAGATTGGTTACGAGTAAAACAATCAAATTATTTGATCACTCTAATTTTGTTAGAAAACCCTAAACATCTCATTAGTTTAATTTTAAAGTCAAATTTAGTATTATATATTTAGTTTAGTTTAGTTTGGAATGAATTGATTTTAGATTTTTGAAAGAGTCTACAAACACATAAATTAATACAACATTAAATATCACAAATCATAAAATTAAGGCTTAAATAATTTTTTAATACTCTTGTAAAATAGGGGATTTTTTTTTTATTTTAGTTCATTTTAAAAAAATTAATTTCTTCACCGTAAATTTTTTTTCATTTTCGTCCTTACTATCAAATTGATCATTAAATCTAATGGAGAAATGTAAAAAATTTATGAGAACCAAAATATAAAAAGGAAGATTATATGGACCAAAATTTGAGAGGATTAAAACGGAAAAAAAAAATTGAAAGCGTCAAAATAAAAATAACACAAATTTGATAAGAACAAAATAAAAATCACTAAAATTTAAAGGATTAAAAAAACAACAACCTTATTTATTTTATAGGGACTACATATTTATTTGAGTAAACAATCTATAAAATGTAAATAAAATAAATGCACCAATACAAAAATAAAAATAACTTTAACGAATGTATTAAATGCAACAACTTCGTAAAAGTTATATAGTGACATAATCACCACCCTTACACATGTACAAAAAGTCAATACAATAAATAAGTAGAAAAAAAAAATAAAGGGTAAAACATAATTCATTAGTGCAAAAATGGACTTTTTAGATGTCATTTCTATGTCAGGTAACATCCACACGATATAAAAAGTGACATAGTTGTATTTTTGTAAAGACGCAAAAACATTATATGTCAGGTGAGTATTTATGTAGGTAAGTATTTGTGTGTGTGTGCTATGTAGGTGTGGGAAAATTCAAAAAACAAGTTACATTTAAAAATATATATATTTTATGACAAGTATTGACATTTGTCACATCCATCGTAGAATGTTCCACATTCTATGACAAGTAACATCAATACTCATCATAGAATTGAATATAGGTATCAAAGTTCTATATGAACATATTTTGTACCCTTATTATAAGAGGCATTGTCCATCCAACATAGAAAGTGAATATTCTATGTCGAGTGTTGACCCGTCATAAAATGCTTAGATATTCTGTTATCGGGATCTATATCGCGTCCTAAGTGGACATAGAATGTCCAAAACACCCGTCATGGAATATCCCTTCTACACTAGTGATTTGGGTCTCTAAAAGTGCACATTCCTAGTACTTTAGTTCGTGAAAGTAAGAAAATTTTGAATAACTACTTATTATAATTTTAGTACCTAAATATTCATTGATATTATCATTTAAGTCACATACTTTTTGAATTTTGGACCAAAGAGTGTAACATTTTACACTTTCAAAGACTTTTTAAAAAAAAATTATACTATCAAGGACCAAAGTGCTAATGATTCTCTTCAAGGACCAAAATGGTATTTTACCCAAAAAAATAATCATAAAATATCGTAGAGATAACAAAACAAATCATAGCTCATGAATATGAAATAATAAAGAAATCAAACAAAGAATAAGCAAAATTACATTAATATCTTTTCTACATCACATCAATATCTCTAACAGAGTATATTACACACAAAAAAATCTTTTTTTTACTATTTCACGCTTGTTTGTTACCACTCATTTTGACACCTCTGTCATATTTTATGCTTTGTTTTTGTTGCATTCCATTTGTTATATTTTCTCCTTAATCCATTTGTTTTTGTTTGTTACCACTCACATATTATTTCATGAAGGGTGTCTTATTGATTTGCATGTCAATCAATATGAAATTGATGTTAATGAGATCGTAGAGGACTTCACAAATGGTAATGGGTTTTGGAATTTGTCTAAAATCTCTTTTGTGCTTCTAAGCCACATATAAAATAAGATTTTTACCATACTTACTCCTTTCCATATGAACTACTATAATTATTTGGCTTAGTCTCTGCCTCCAAATAATGGAAATTTCTCTTTGAAATCAGCCTACAATTTTGTCTCA